ATTCTGGACCCACTCAGCACATTTAGACCAGTCCAGTTTCGGCTCAGCATGAAGGCAGACTCTTCGGCATACTCGGAATCCGTTTCTGAAACCCATCTCATATTCCTCTTGGGTATAAACACGGACTTTGAGTAAAGCCTCAGCATCAGCCAGCTTCTTCTGGGTCTCCTCCAAGTCTTCCTTGGATTTCTTCAGCTCATCAGCGACTTGGGAGGAGGAACCTTTCAGCTCATTCAGCTCTTGCTGAATTTGGAAAGCCTTTGTCTGAGCCTGGGCCACTTCAACTTTCTGGATCAGCAATTGATCCTCAGCCTCTTGGAATTTAGCTCTTTGAGCTTCAGCAGCAGCAGCAGCCTCTGAGAGTTGGACGTCTTTGGCCAGGAGCAACTCTTCAGCAGCCATTCGGCTGGCTTCAAGAGCCTCTAGACGCTGCTGCACTTCAGCTTGTGCAGCAGTTCCTTCTTGAATTCGGCTCTCAACGGCAGCCTTGAATTTGGAGACGTCCACTCCCATATGCTCCTGGAGGAATTTTTCCCCTTCCATCAGTAGGGGAAAAACTTCCTTCTCCATAGCATCGCAGAAGGTTTTCAGGGCTTCGGCAGCTTTTTTCCCGTACTCCTCAACCTCCTGCTGCTTCTCTTCAGCTGCTGCTTGCTTCAGCTTAGCAAGCTTAACTTCCTCTTCAGCCACCTTCTTTTCGTGCACAGCAGCGTCTACCCTATCTTGTAGGGTATCTATCAGCTCTACAGTGAGAGTCTGATTGTGCACGAACTGAAAACAGGAAAATATAAAATAAAAAATATATATATATATATAAAGAGCTGAATTTCGGAGGAAATGAAGGAAAATTACCTGCATCATCAGCAGTTGGTTAGACCTGGCTGGGTCAGGAACTGATCTGCTGGATTCGCCCATCCCAGCAGTGGCCTTCAGCGACCAGATCCTTGCCCTGTCTACTTCGGACATGCCAGCAAAATTGCCGAAGTAGGCTGCAGCTCCTTCTCGGTTTTGACCCCATATGAGGTCCCAGATGTGATCTGGGATTGGAATTCGGGGGGCCGAGAAACCCATTTCTCCAGAATGCAGAGTCTGGAAAGAAGGGAAGGATGACGATGGAGCTTGATTAGCTTTGGTTGTCTCAGCATCATCCTTCTCAGAGGAGTCAATTACTATGACCTCCTCTTCTTCAGGGGTGAGGACGAAAGCCTCAACCTCTCTTGCGATGTCTGCCGTGAAGCCCTCAGCGCTGGACATCACGGCATCCTTATTTTCGTGCTCATCAGCACTCTTCTTCATTTCTTCTTGGACCCCTCCCTTAGGTTCGGGAGTTCTCTGATCCACCTCCATCTCAGGAGGTGGCGGAGGGGTCTTTTGAGGAGATTGGGGTGTTGGCTGGGGAACCCTCGGCGATCCATTGCCTTCCTCAGGTTCCCTTATTGCGACGCCGATGGTCATCGGCCTCTGCTGAAAGTCATGAGGGCCGATGATGGCCATCCTTCGGCGCCTTTTCAAAAGGGGCTGCTCGTCCATATCTGAGTCTGAAGACTCTTGTATTTGGTCTTCGGGACGAACAGGAGCTTTGCCTTCTTTGTGTCTGTTACTCTCTTCAGACTGTAACAGACAGGGGGGAAGAAGAATGTGAGTAAAAAAAAAAAAAAAAAAAAAAAAAAAAAAAAAAAAAAAAGAAAAGAAAAAAGTTGTCTGAAAGCTCACCGAGGTTTTCAGCAAAGCCTCGTCTTCTTCAGCTGCTCTAGCTGCAGCTTCGGCTTCAGCAGCTCTGGAGGACCCTTCTCCTCCTTCGCAAGCCTCAAGTACCCGTGCAACCTCTTCGGCTGTGCGGGCAGCTTCAGCTTCTTCGTTCAGCAGCTGAAACCAAGGGTCTCTCTTCTTCCACCAAGGCTTCTGCCTCTGATACAGAGCAACAGCCTCAATTTGGAAGTGGGAAGAATCCAGATGAACTTCCCTATGCCTCGGCTCAGTGATAGACGGGGCCCGTTCAGTTACAACTCGCTCTCGGTTAACACCAAGACGAGCGTAGTTAATACCAACGTTGGTCTCGTCCCGCTCTGAAAAAAGGAAAGGGAAAAAGTTTAGCTCAGATATGTCGGCACAGCATAAAAAAAAGCAAAGCGAGAGAAGAAAAAGAGGTAGTTAAAAAGCCTCGGCCCCAGCCGAAGAAGCTTACCATCCTTAAACTTTCGGCTGAGGCCAACAGCTGCTAGCATGTTCTCTTGGAAAACGTAATGCGTATCGGGGAGCCAAGTCTCCGGGATATGCTGCATTCGACCACTTCCCCCCGGGTTCGGCAGCTTGCCGAAGATATGTTGCTGATCCAGGTTCGGATCCGCCCCGTTATCTGCGGGGGGACCTAGACTTCCCATTTCGGGATCAGGCTCAGCTAAGTACCGGGGAGCGCTGAAGACGCAAGGGTGGCCCGGATCTGTGGGTGCCCTAACCCAAATCCATTGACCTCTCCAGTCCTTGTCTGAAGAGTCATTTGGCCACATGGTCAAGTATTGGGGCCGGGACTCAATCCGATACCACCCAGAACCATGGCTTCCGTGCCCACTTTGAATATTTGGCACTAGCCGATGGAGCTTTCTGAAGCAGTGCAGGTTCGGCACGTACTTGAAGAACTTGCAGACCCATAAGTATGTCATCACCCTTCGGATGCTGGTGGGGGTTAGCTGACATAGGGAAATGTTGTAATGGATCAGCAAGTCTCGGACGAAAACGTCCAAAGGGAACCTCAGCCCATACTGAAGCTGTCTCGTGTACACCCCCACATACCCCGGGGGTGGACGATGGATTCTATCGGATGCTGAGGGCATTCGGCACCAATATCCATCAGCTTCAAAAATGCCGTAATGCAACTCAATTTGCTCGGCAAATCGATATTGATCGGCGTTCTCTACCCACCATGAGTAGGGGCGGTTCTTTATCATGGCCGAAACGACTTCGGCATTCTCCCACTCTGAAAACCCAGGGAGGATATCCCAAAGGACAGCGGGAACTTCATCATCCCGTCCAGAAGCGCTCGGCTCATCCGTTCTTTGAGGAGGAGCCGAGGAAAGGGGAGTCGCCCTGATCCCTTCAGCAGGGTCAGACTCCGGCCTTTGACCATTCCAGGTCCCAATCCTGTTCCTAGGATCAGGAATCGGCCTTGCTCTTCTTGGAGCGCGGGCTCTACCTCTAACTCCTCTTGCCATGGATTATTTCGAAGAGAAAAGTCGAAAGAAAAGGGGAAGGAGTTCGAATTCGAAGAAAAATAAACTGAAATCAAAGGAATTTACCTTAATCTGAAGCGAAAGTTGCCGATTTACGAGTTCGTAGTGGCAAGTCTCAGTTTCTAAGCTCAATGCTCGGGGAATTTGCGAAGTTTTGATGCGGGTTCTTGGTTTCTCTCTCGAAGAATTCTGGGTTTGTGTTGGTGAATAAGTGAGGAGAATGACGCGCCTCTGTTTATATCTCCAGGTACGGGATACGAAGAGTCTGTGCTTTAATTTCTCTTAAATACCCACTAAGTAACCATTAAACACATGATCTTGTGATTAAACTGCCCATTATCCGTCCAACTTCCGCAATCATTAACCGTTGTTATCTCATTAATTACGGTTTAAACTCAAATTTTTGGATCAATTAAATCATTTACTTCCCTCCTTTCCTGAATTAAATCAAACCCGACCCGTCATCCTTCCAAATCGGGTCTGGGGGGCAAGTTGTTTGGGTCCAATTTAGTCAAAATTGGGCCTGAGCACTAAATGATCCAATTAAAAGCCCAAGGTCAAGGTTCAACTCTCCAATTGCTCAAAAGTCAAAGGTCAGCCCACAAAGTAAGCCAATTGGGCTAAAGCCCAACCTCTCCATGTATGATGAGGTATAAAAGCCATCATATTGACACATTCACGAGGACATTGATATTCCAATTCATATGCTCATTCTTGCATTCAGAAATATTCCACAAAAGCCTCAAGCTACAAACTCTCTTGCATAGTGTCTTCCTTTTACACATTGTACTGACTTTAGCATCGGAGGGGCCTTCCTCGGAAACACCCCCGAGGCTAGTTTACGTGTGTTCACTGTGCAGGAAACCTTCGGCCCAACACAACTTGGATCGAATCCAGTCTTCTCCATTTCAGCGGACCTTCGGCAAGGTCCCATTGTTTTCAACCGAAACAAACGGTATACTAATTCTTCTCAAGAGTCATGACCCAAGTCACAAAGAGTTCAGATATATAGTAGAAAAAGTTAGGGTGTGCAAGGACCTTGACAATCAAATCCCATTTAAGATCCCATAGGCCATAGGTGTGAGGTTATAATCGTTAGAAGTTTAATTTCAGTGCGACACATGGTTGCTTTATCATATATTTCGTATAAATTACTACCTCTGTCTCATATTACTTGTCTTATTATTCTCTATCAATAAGTGCTCCATTTATTTGTCTCATAAGAATTTTTGTCTCTATTTTTTTCTCATAAACAAGGCTCGACTTTCATTTATTTCCTCTATCTGCGTAAGATTATAAGTAAATGATTATGATGCAAGTAAATTAAGACATAGATAAATATAAGCATAGAATATTTAATAATTTGTATTCATCTACGTTTTTTTTTTTCCTTTTTGTTTGTCTCATTTCTCTCTAGCCAAAAAGCCCGTTATTTTTTGCCTAAAACAACAGGTTTGGGCACAACTTTTTTGGCCCAAGCTTGAGCCCCAAACTGATAACAACTGTTTTTTGCCAAAGCTCTACTTGATCCATGATCAACTCTACATTCGACTCAATTCTACTCTGGTTAATTTTCAAAATCCACCAATGTGATTATCGTATTAAGTTGGCTAGTTATGTCAAACTTATCATCCCCATCTAATGACTTTTTTTTAATTGGAAGATTTAAAGGACGAAATTTAAAAAAAAAAATTAAATAATTCTAATTTTTTTAATGTATTATCCAACTTATATATAAAAAAAATTAGGCAAGGAAATATAATACGAGTAGGATTAAGAACAACTATCTTTGTTATTGTTACTATTGTTACCATAACGAGAGAAACTTTCCTGTATTTTTGCAAATATTCAGCATTTTTCCACCACTTATAAAAAGTTAATAATAATAATAAAGTAGGGAAAAAAAAAAAAAAAAACTTTAAAAAGAGGTAGGAGGTGAAATTACGTTTATGAACCTAGTACCCATCTCTACCACTACCACCTCACGGGTCCCTCAATAGTCAAATCCTTCTATCTTCTCTTTCTTTCTCATCCACCCCTTCGACCTTCAAACCCTAGATCCCCTTTTCCTTATTTTCTCTCTCCTCTTCCGCCGCCACTCTTTTCACCGCCGATTACCTCTAATCGTCGATTAATTACACCTTTATCCTTTTCCGATCATCAATTTCTTCATATTCCCCTTAATTTTTTGTTCCTGTTTTTCCCCCTTTTCGCGCTTCCGATCTGGTCGCGGTACGTGTTTTCCCCTTTGTTTTTGTGTTTTTTCGTTTGGATCTTCGATTAATTGGGTTCTATTTGGGTTTGATTTTGCGGATTTGTATGTATGTTGTATTTTTGTTTAGATCTTGATTTTTGTGTTCCGATTGAAACCCTAGGTTTCGGATCTGTGTTTCCCTGATTTGATTTCGATTATCTGGGTCTGAAAGTTTCGATCTTTGTGAATTCGCGATGTTTTCTTCGATTTGAATTTTCACGTCAGATCTTACGTCACCTACCCTTGAGCCTTGATTTTTTTTTTTTTAAAAAAAATATTTTTATTTTATTTATTTAATGACAAAGAATATTCCATTTAAAAAAGGAAAACAAAAATGGAACTTTATCTTTTTATATGGGAAATTACAGTAATAAAACATGCTCTCTGCAACAAAATTGAGGAACTTATATTATTTACATTGAAACCCACCTGCTTAATGTTGGGATGTCCATAAGAAGTGAGGTTTAAGGTTATCTATATTGCATTTTAGTTTAGGCAATATGTATAAAATGTGCATTCTTCTCTTTGTAGTTTGTAGATAGTCAATTGTTGTGTGGTATTGAAAGTATTTGATAAAGGTTAAATCAATATACACTTGCATGGGAGTTAAGTGGAGGGCATAGAGCTAGGCTCTTCAACTTGTTTTCGGGGGCGGGGGCGGGGGCAGTATTGAAAGTGAGGTTTTGGTATGAAGATTGACAGATTACTGGGTGTTGTTAGTTTGTTACATTTCCTTTTACATGCAATCCATATTCTAAAATTGAGTCATTGATTTGGGAAACTGTTGTGAAATTTTGAAGTTATAGGATGGAGCTAGGGGAGTAATTGAATGGGCAAGGAAGTTTGAGATACTAGGCAAGTGCTTGTGATTCATCAGGGAAATTTTTTTCCATGAAGGTTTTTGGGTGTTCCCCAGATCATTCTGGGACTAAGGCTTTGTTGTTGTTGGAGGTTTTTGGGTGTTGACAAGGGGTAATGGAGTTGGTGTTGTACTATGACCTTATATATATCATGGTTGTTTACCTCTTCTAGTATATGGCGAGGCTGTGAACGTTAGATGTTTATCTACAAAGTATTATTTGTTGTTTATGGTAATTTCATGGCTCTGTTTGGTGCATCATTTTGGCTAGCTGGTTTTGTATCTTGATGTATGGGTTAAATAAGTGCATTTGGATGGGTTGTAATTCAAGCATTTTATAGATCAATTGCTGCATATAAACTGTATGAAGCTTAAATGTTAAAACCTTTTTTGAATAAAGCATGTGTGTTTCTTTTCTCATGTGGTGCAAGCCCTTAACTGCAAATTTTTTATGCTTGGAGGTACTAAATGTTTTCAAAATTAGGAATTTTCTGCATTGCTTTATATGTCCCTCATGTATGCTGCGTGATGCACGTTTAAAAATATATTCTCACTGTGTTAGCCCACTGTTTCCCATATTTTGAAGCTTTAGCCTTCTTTTTAGCTTCATGTGTTGTTATCTGACTTATCTCTTTCTTGCAGCTGAACATGGCCCACAAGCGACCATTTGATGACGAAGTGGTTGATGAGGGTTCCTCCAAACATCAGAGACAGGATGGACCTAGTGATGAGATAAGCTTATGTAATGGTATCTCCCAACATCAGAGACAGGATGGACCTAGTGATGAGCTAAGCTTATGCAATGGTAGTTTCTCCATAGATGGTGCCTGTGGGAAACCTTATGTTTTAGGTAGGTGAATGTTTTGGCCTGGTTTTAACTACATGGTGTTATGGAATCTGTATTTAGGTGTTATTATTAGTCTTCTATGGTGTGTGGCCTCTTATTCTTTTTAATTGTATGTATTTTGTGAAATAGCTTATGCACAATGACACTGTCAGTAATCGTAAATTGTGTACCAGAATCTTATATTGAAGCAAATCATGTAACTCTGCTTTATATTACTTTTGGATGCCTAATAAAGCTGGTACCTTTACAAAAGTACTAATGGTTGATAATGCTGTATTCCAATATGTCAGTAATCAAATTTTTGGTTGGGCTCAGATGGTAGAATTTAAATGACCAGACTTTTGTTTGCCTGTGTTATTCAAATTGAACCTCATGCTATATTTTTATCTGTGAGGGGGCTTGGGAACTTGGGGTGTTGTGGCGATGAATTTGGTGTTGATGGTGTACTGTTTTTGTTAATAGTTAGGAAAACACATTTTAACTTTTAAAGGCAGTTGGTGATATTCTGTTTGGCTTATTTTCCGATTGCATGATTTAAAGACTTGTTGAGTCATTTTAACATATATGACCAATCATTTGATTGTCCTTCCACTTGGAAATGTCATTGTATGGGTAAAATTTATTTTTTTGCTTATGTATGATATGCTGCAGGTGATTCCAGCATTGAAAATGATCAATTGGATCTGCGTCAAGAGCATGCTAATGGCAGTTGCCCTGTACCCAGGGAGGATGTTGAAAGTGATGCTCCCAGGTCTGCTTCTTTATCACACTGGGCAACCAGTAGGACTAGTGATGATGAACTGTCAGAAGAACCTGTCCAGTTGCCTTTATATCCTGGATATTTTAGTTTCGACAATCATGTGAGACCAATAAATCCAGAAGATGTATATTATTGTCTGTTAGATTATCCTCCAAGGAAGCGAGTTCCTGTTGGGCCTGATCATCAAGCAGATATTCCTAGTTTGGAAATCCAGATAAAAGAGAGTACTTCTGATGATTTAGGAAAAATCGAACCTGCTCCTTCTGACATACACACTGTCGAGATTGTGGAGGGTGGGCTGGATGGGATATGTATCATGCCAATTCCGAATATCGAGCCTCTGCCTTATTATGGTGAGAAAGTTGGAAATGGTAGGACTGAGTGTACATGCCCAGATCAGGGATCTGTGAGATGTGTCCGGCAGCATATTGCAGAAGCTCGAGATGAATTGAGGAGAACCCTTGGTCAGGATATATTCGTGGAGTTGGGTTTCTATGACATGGGAGAAGTTGTGGCAGAAAAATGGAGCTTGGAGGAAGAGCAGTTATTCCACGAGGTTGTATATTCCAACCCTGCATCACTGGGTAAAAATTTTTGGAATGTTCTTTCAGCTGTATTTCCTTCTCGAACCAAGATGGAAATAGTAAGCTACTACTTCAATGTTTTCATGCTTAGAAAGCGAGCAGAGCAAAACAGATGTGATTCATTCAACGTAGATAGTGATGATGACGAATGGCATGGAAGTGATGATGATGGGGGTGATGAAGGTGGAGTGTCAGAAGAAGATGAAGACTCTGGTATTGAGTCCCCTGTTCGTCATGGTGGCCTTGCGTTTCATCAAAATGGTTTGCATCTGCAAGGGGATGAACATGGACTTGAGGATGATGGGGACCTATCAGATGAAGCCCGAGAAAACGATGGCCTCAATGGTGATGGTATTGTGAGAAAATCTGACCATGATTCTTCCTTTGAACATCCTGGCAAGAAGTCTGATGATGATGGTGAAAATGATGTCCAAGATGGATCATGCACATCCTCTGATTCGGGCGCCTCTGTGCAAGGATCCCAGTTGAAGCCTGATGGTTGTCATGAGTGGAACGAATATATCATAGATTCATCCGATGCTAAAGTGTGGGATGGGTATAGTATGAGTTGTCCTAAACAAAATATGGATTTCTTATCTACATGCAGTATGATTGAAGAGGTGTTTGGAGATGGTGGTTTTGAATCTAAAGGCAAGAGATGGTGAGGTACGAAATCTGCTATTGTAATGGAGGGTTTAAGTCCATCATTTTTATCCGGGCTTGTTTAGTCAAGATTCGGGCACCCAGAGTGTGACTAGCTTCCTCTGCATGTCTGCAAAAGATAACCATGTGTTTATTTTCTTTTTAGAGCATTAGAGGATCCAATTTTTCCTGATGTAAATTGCCAATTGAGTGGAAAGATGGAAGTCCAGCATAAAGTGTAAAATAGTAACATTATATTTGTGGCGCGCCTACCTAAGCTGTGTGCCACTTCTGTAGCTTCTCTCTTATTTTACAACTTGTAAAAGCCTTAGCCTTTGGGTTTTACAACTTAATTTTGACCCTTCTCTTCTATGGTGAATAAACTTAAATGTCTAATAGTATGAAAAATAGCAGGTCCATGTCCAGTATACACAACGTTGAGTGTCTGATACTTTATGCAAGTTCTAATTTTCACTGGTTTGTTTCAACATTCTGTACTCTATGTTAGTTAACATAATTTGTAATCTGAACGTCTGCAAATTTATCTTTCTTTGAGACTTGGGATCTTGAAAAGTATTCCTTTTTTTACGTTTTCTTTCTGAAATATTCTTAGAAAAATAACCGGAAATACAGAATTATTATACCCTTGCGAGTAGATTAATACATTCTCAAAGGTAAACTTGTTAATCTGTTGTTATCTTATGCTGACTATTGCCATGGGCTAGGTCAGTGCTATGCCTAATCCAATGGCTTTCTAACGCACTAGCAAATTAGCAAGTGACTAGTCCAGATATTATGCTATAAACTTCAAATGCATATAAAATGTACAACCATAATTTTCATAATCAGGTGCAGTGACCATGAAAAGGCTAGCGACAGCAGCCACACGACGATAATAAAATGAACTAATGGCTCACTAGAAACCTCGAGAAGTCTACCAGGTCTACGATGTCCATTTTAGAACAATACTCAAAACACACAAGATGCACTCAAGGAGCCGAAAGAGACAGCTCATAGGAAAAGTTCATCTTCAATGATGCTAGTGCTTAATTTTGAGAACATCAAGCACCCTTATGTCCTGATGAAAGGTCTCAAGGAACAGTTTGTAAATTTTCATGCTCAGCTTCTTATACAGTTCTGGTTGATTAGCGCTAATCAATTCACTAATCGGCCCCTCTTCTTTTTCGGGGTTCTGGAGTACAGAATGCAGTCACTGAGTACCTCTCTCGTTCTGAATTAGTCACCACCCTGTGTAATACACTCTTGAAAATACCATTACTCATTACCTGCAAGTTAAGTCCACAAAAAAACTCTAGCTAAGATATGACAACGTAACACCTGCATTACTAATTTTAATTAGCTGATTGGCGTAGATGTATTAGTGAATAATTGAGTCTATTACCTTTGCAAAATCACCAACATTAACTACTAAAGCTCCCGGGATGACTGGAACATTGAACCACTTATCATCTTTAAGGATATGCATGCTCTCCGGCACATTTTTGTCTGGCAAAAGCATTGTAATAGAGGATCTAGCTGAATGAAGACGAACACCATAAACTTTATCAGGCCGCGAACAAGATGGATAGAATCCAAATCTTGTCTCCATGAGTCCACGTTCACCATGTTCTTTAAAAAAGCTATCCTCTCTTAATTCCAGAGATCACGCCATGGCTTTAAGGATGACTTTTAACATCATTCTCAAATTTAGTGAAAATTCATGTAAAATTTCACTGATTCCTCAATGATTTGTCACAGATAACACTATGAGTTAGTACTCATTTATTTAATGATCAAATACAGTAATGATATCTGCCATGTGATAATGTCAAATTTAGTGCAAAGTTACTGCAAAATTCAGGAATTGCATATGAAAAAAACCACTTTTAATTTGTTAAAACATTTAAATCAATAATAATGGCACGATTTGTACCTGAATTTATCCGGCTTCTGAGGCCCAAATGGGAGCTTGCGTTGATCCTCGGGATAAACTGTAAGAAAGAGTCTATCATTCCAGTTGATAGGCTTATCTCCAGCAAGCACAACAGCCGGGTTTCCATATCCATTGAAAATATCTTCTTCCATTGCCGATTTTAGTTTTTCCTCTAAAGGAAGTGCAAAAAACTGCCTACAAATATCAAGCAACTCGTCCAGAAATAAATTTGTCATACAATGGTTTATAACCTGATCATTAACAACAACAAAAACCACCAATAAACGCAACGTAACCTAAACATACAACATTGTATTTGTTTGATAGAGAATATACGTGATGTTACTGAATCACAACACGGGATCGAATTAAACTACCTAATGATCTTTCTACGACTACTAGAACATTAAAAAGAGGGAGCCCCAGTTCTTCATCATGAGGAACACTTTTGTTCCTCATAATGACATTTTGGAAAATAATGTGATGTTTTTCACTAGTGGGGACCGCCTATGTGTCATGAGTGGAACTTTGTGAACTTGACACATATCCCACAAGGAACAAAACTTGTTCCTCACAATGAGGAATAGGGAATTACCCTATTAAAAATAATAATAATTATAAAAAAAAAAAAAAAAAAAAAAAAAGGTTAGATTATTATGAATAAAAAAGCAACCTGAAAACAACCCCAATTTTTGAGAGCAGAATTAAGCTTGGAAAGTTCATCTTGATGAGCAGATGATGAAACGGTGGAAATGAGATCGAAATCGATCAACAAAGTTTCTTCCCATAGATTGCTAGAGGCATCAATGGGTTAAGATATTACATCATTTTTAATGATGTATTTTTGTGGGACTTCCTCCCCTTTCTTTGCTATTTCCTGCACTAACCTTGATATTACATCTTCATTTCTTGATTCATCCATTACACATTTAACTTTCACTCTAACTAAATGTTTTAGTTATCTGTATTTATCAGCAACAAAAATCGGACATACACCTTCTAACTAAATGTTTTAGTTATCAGCATACATCCAATTCAATAATGATAATATAATTATTTTCCCAACCAAGGGGTATAATACAATTGTTATTCCTATTGATTACATCACTTCTACATGTAAGGACGCATCCATATAATTAGCTATAAGCAACAAACAATATTTGTTTAAACATATTTATGGAGAAAATATTAGGAATACTCTTCACGCGTTTTGAATATTATTTTGTGTAAATATATTTTAATTATATTGTGATAATTTATTAGCATGTTGAGGATGGATATTTGTTAGAGATATAATCACTTTGCATTTGTGCGGTATTTCATGCGCCGTTTGACCATATATATCTTTAGCTATGTATAAGTGAAAATTATAAAAAGCTGATATCTGAAAAATATAACATAAGACAAATCTAATAAGATCCCTATGGTAATTTATTTCTTTCGTAAAATCCATTGAAGAATAGACCTCTCAAATATCACCACCTGGAAATATCCCACATTAGTTGAAGAAGAGAGAATTAATCACTTTCTAAGGCTACGGAGCTACTCTTCCTATTGCCATATGTTTTTGGGATAGAACCTAAAAAAGTGACTTTTTGCATTATGTAACGCATGACATTGAGGTTCAAACATGGAGTAGATAAATTAGTGAATAGTTGAGTGTTAACTCATTCGAGTAGATAAATTAGTGAATAGTTGAGTCAATTACCTCTGCATAATCACCAAGTAACAAATAGAGCTCCAGGTAATAAATATGCAGACCTTCCGGCACATTTTTTTCTGGTAAAAGTACTGTTATAGGGATCTATCTGAATGTGGATGAACACCATAAACTGTTATAGAGGATCTATCTATTTTGACCCTTCTCTTCTATGATGAATAAACTTAAATGTCTAATAGTACGAAAAATTAACAGGTCCTTGACTCCTTGTCCAGTGTCCACAATGTTGAATATTTGGCGCGTTGTGTCTGAGTCCAAATTTACACCGGTTTGTTTCAACATTTTTACTCTGATATCAGTTAACTTGATTATACGTTTTCTTTCTGAAATATTCTTAAACATAACACAGAATTACCGTAACCTTGCAGTCGTGCTGACCATTGCCATGGGCTTCTATGCTTCGTATGTTTTCATTCAAATGCAAATAAAAAGTGCAACCATAATTTTCATAACCTGGTGCAGTGACCAGCACATGAAAAGGCTAGCGACACCAGCCATACAACGATAATAAAATGAACTAATGTGGCTCACTGGAAACCTCGAGAAATCTACCAGGTCTCTGATGTCCATTTAAGCACAATACTGGATACACTCGAGGAGCTGAAACTTATTACATTTATTGAAACAGCTCGTAAGATATGATGCTAAAGTTGATGCTAATGCTTAATTCTGAGAGCATCAAGAACCCTTATGTCCTGAGAAAAGGTCTCAAGGAACAGTTGGTCGTAAATTTTCATGCTCAGCTTCTTATACACTTCTGGTTGATTAACGCTAATCAATTCATTAATCGGCCCCACATCATTTTCGGGTTCTAGAGTATAAAATGCAGTCACTGAATACCTCTCTCTTTCCGAATTAGTCATCACCCTTTGTACTACACTCTTGAATATACCGTTACTAATTACCTGCAAGCTGAGTCCACAACAAAACTCTAGCTAAGATAAGAATGTTAAAGATCAAACAGGATGACACGTAAAGATCAACAAACACCTGCAATACTAATTTTAGCTGATTTGGTCTAGATGTATCATCAAATGAAAGTCAAATACATTCAACAAAGCTAATTGAATCAAATGTATTCAAACAAAGCTAATTGAATCAAATAAAAGCCAAACACATTCAAGCTAATTGAATCAAATAAAAGTCAAATATAGAGTCAGTTACCTCGGCAAAATCACCAAGAATAACTACTAGAGCTCCGGGGATGACTGGAACATTGAACCACTTATCATCTTTCAAGATATGCAGGCTGTCCGGCACATTTTTGTCTAGCAAAAGTATTGTAATAAAGGATCTATCTAAGTGTGGACGAACACCATAAACTTTATCAGGCCGCGAACAAGGTGGATAGAATGCAAATCTTGTCTCCATTAGTCCACGTTCACCATGATCTTTAAAGAAGTAATCCTCTCTTAATTCCAGAGATTGCGCCATGGCTTTAAGGAAGACTTCAAACATCATTCTCAAGTTTAGTGAAAATTCATGTAGAATTTCACTAAGTCCAATGATTTATCACATACAGATAACACTGTTAAGATCACCACCACTACTAGAAAACAGTCGATTTCCGCGGAATGTTCCGACGGACACAAAAATCTGTCGGAAAAACCAAAATTTCCGACGAATTCAAATATTCTGTCGGGTATCCGTCGGAAGTTTCCGACGGAATTAAAAATCTGTCGGAAAATAAGTAATTTTCGACGGATTTTATCGGAAAGTTCCGACGGATGTTTTTCGTCGGAATTCTAAATTTCCGACGGATTTTCGGTCAGATTTTCGTCGGAACTATTAAAAAATAAAAAAATAAAATCTAAACCCTACATATGTCTCTAGCCGTTACTCCCCTATTTCCCCCTCTCTCTTCTTCTCTTCCCTTTCTCTCTCCTCTCCTCTCCTCTCTATTTCTCTTCTTTCTTCTCTTTCCTCTTATTTCTCTGGTCTTCTTCTCCTTCTCTTGCCCTTTCTCATCTTTCTCGGTCTTCTTCTCATTCTCCCTTCACTTTCTTTTGTCTTTTTCTTCTTCTCCCTCCGTTCACCACCAACATCAAGCACCGTCAACAACAACAACCAACATCAACCGCAACAACAACAAAGCCAACAACCACCGTCGCGAGCCACCCAGTCTCAAGGTTTTTGTTTTGTAGATCTTGTAATTTAGAGTGTAGATCTAGTTAATTTTGTATGTAATTGTAATGTTAGTTTATAAATTTTATTAGACAATTGTATATATATATATTTCTTTTAATTTTCGTCGGTTAATTATCGTTTTTTTAAAAAAAAATTAATGAAATTCTGATTAGTATGTTGATCTACTGGTTTTGATTGTTTTGTGTGGTAATATTTGATTATGTTGTGTTAATTTTTGTATTTTTGGGGTAAATTTTCGATTTTTTGGGGCTTTTCTTTTTTTAGGGTTGATTTTCCTTTTTTTTAGGCTAATTTCGGTTTGTAGGGTTAATTTTTGGAATGGTGGTGGTGTGTAGTGGTGGGGTGGGGGCTGGTGTGAGTTTGGTGCTAGGTAAATTAATGGTTGAGATGGTTTCGGTTTGGTGTGGGTGGGGTTTTGGTTGGGGTGGTTTCGGTTTGGTGTGGGTGGGGTTTTGGTTGGGGTGGTTTTGGTTATGGGTTTTGGTGGTGGATCTGGGTGGTGGCGGAGGGTCTTGATAGTGATGGGGAATGTAGGCGTTGGTGGTGGGTGAATAGCAGTGTTGGGTAAATTTTGATGGTGGCAACAGGTGCGGTGTTGGTGGATCTGGGTGGTGGTAAGGGCTGTTTTTTTATTTATTTATTTTTATTTACTTTTGCAACGGAAATTCCATTGGAATTTTCCGACGGAACAGTATTCGCCGGAAATTTTCAACGGACTTTTCCGGTGCCAGAATTTCTCTTCCGACAGAACTATTCCGTCGGAAAAGGTCGTTTTTCCTATAAAAGGTTTTCCGACGGAATTCCGTCGAAAACGGGTTTTTCCGATGGAATTCAGGGTGATTCCAACGGAATTTTTCCGTCAGAAATGGCCTGATTTCTAGTAGTGCACTATTTAAAAAAGGAAAACAAATATAAGCCTTAGAATTTGTTAGCAATACGTGAATGATTTCCTACGAAATGTGAAGGAGAAAATATAAATTTAAGAAGTCGTATTTAGAATATAGGATCTATATAAACTTAAGTTATGATTTGTTATATTCATCCCAAAAACAAAAGAAAACATAAAGCAGAGAGAGAAGATTTAAGAGAATTATTTAGAGAAAATTCTCAGGTGTGATTGGTGTGCATATGGTTGTGAGATATAATAAGTGTTGTGAACACTTGTGTATCATTTATCTTTTTCAATAAATTTTGCAGCATAATTAGAGATACAAATATTTGTTCATTTTTTTGTATTCACTACTAGAAAATAGACAAATTCCGACGGACTGGTTCCAACGCACACGAAATTCCGTCGGAAAAAGCCAAATTTCCAACGGATTTATGTTCTGTCGGATATTTCCGACGAATTTAACCATTCCCTCGGAAATCCGTCGGAAATTTCCGACGGAAATAAAATCCGTCAGAATATTTGTGCTTTCCGACGGATTTTTCCGTCGGAATATAATTTAAAATAAAATTAATCTTTTTACCAAACCCTAAAACGCCTCTCTTTCCCTTTGAAATTTCCGCCTCTCTTACTTCTCTCCTCTTCTCCTTCTCTTTCTCTTTCCTCATCTCCTTTTCTCCTTCATTATCTGCTCTTTCTCCTTCCCTCTCTCTGCTCTTCTCCTTCTTCTTTTCTCCCCCTTTCTTTTTTTCTTCTCCTTCCGTTCTCTGCTATTTCTCCTTCTCTTTCTACTCTTCTCCTTCGCTCTCCCGTTATCCTTCTCTTTTCTTTCTCGCCGGCATGGGCTTGCAATTAACGACCTTTAACGGTTGTTCTTCTCTCTCGCCGGCGTCCAGTTGTGGTTTCTCTAGAAATTAACGGTTATGGAGGTCAAATTCGACCATGAAACTTCTAATCTAGAGTTTTCGTGGTCGAATTTGGCCATATTAAACCCAATTTTGACGTTTTGTTTGATCAAATTAAGGTATGTATCTCTTTTTTTTTTCTTAATTTTGATTTTAATTAATTTGTTGTTTTTTTCGATTTTTTTTTAAAATTTATGCTGGTGGTGGTGGACGTTGGAGTTCGGATTTTGGTGGCTGGGTTGGCGAGGTTGTGGTGGGTAGATCTGGGTTGTGGTCGGATTTTTTTGATGTTTTTTTGGTTGCGTTGTCGTGGTGGTAGAGTACCGGTGTCGGTTCTGTTTGGGTGGGTGGGGTTTAAATAGGGGCTGAAGGGAGGGAGGTTAGTTGCGGTTTAAATCGGGCCTGGAGGTTTGGCGAATCGAGCCTGGAGGTTAGTAGTGACGGTTGGTGGGGTCTGGTGGGTTAGGGTTAGGTGGGTTACGGTGGTGGGTCTATTGGGTTAAGGGTTAGGTGGGTTAAGGTGGTAGGTTACGATGGTGGGTCTGGTGGATAAGGGTTAGGTGGGTTAAGGTGGTGGGTCTGTTGGGTTAAGGCGGGTTAGTTGGTCGCGTAGTGGCGGTTGGGGCTAGTAGCGGTGGTGCTGTGGGTTTCTTTTTAATTTTTTTTTTCAGCATTTTCCGACGGAATTTCCGTCGAAACTTTCTGGCAGAATTGTGTCAGTCGGAAATTTCCGACGGACTTTTCCAGTGCCGAAAAATCTTTTCCAATGACAGAATTCCGTCGAAAAAGGTCGTTTTTTCCTACAAAAACGTTTTCGACAACCGGTTCCGACAGAATTTCCGTCGGAAACGTGTTTTTCGACGGATTTTAGCGTGTTTCCGACGGAATTTTTCCGTCAGAAATAGGTTGTTTTCTTGTAGTGATTATTCATATATATTTTTATTCCCACTAATCTGATTCTAAAGGGAATTCGCATAGTATTTTCTAATAACTGGTATCAGAGCCGAGTTGATATTTTGTCAACATTCAGATAGAAATCGTTAGAAACGATCCTAAGAAGTCAGATTTGAGTGGGATCAATGGCTGCAGACGAAGGAAAGGTAAGACTCGAAAAATTTGATGGTGCAGATTTCGGGTTTTGGAAGATGCAGATTAAAGATTATTTATACCAGAAAATGCTTTATGAACCTCGTTTGGAAAAAAAGCCCGAAGGTTGGAATCTTCTAGATATACAAGCCCTTGGAGTTATTTGGCTAACTTTATCACGCAATGTTGCTTTTAATATAGCAAAGGAAAAGACCACGATAGGTCTGATGAAAGCTCTCTCTAGTATGTATGAGAAGCCATCGACTTCTAATAAAGTTCATTTAGTGAGGCGGTTATTTAGTTTGCGGATGACAGATGGCGGGTCAGTAGCTCAACATCTTAATGAACTCAATTCAATCACAATCCAATTGAGTTCAGACAAAATTGAATTTGAAGATGAAGTTCGAGCATTGATACTTTTGTCATCATTACCAAATAGTTGGAATGCTACAGTCACATCTGTGAGTAGCTCGTCAGGAAGCAATAAATTGAAATTTGACGATGTTCGTGACCTGGTTCTCAGTGAAGAGATCCGACGGAGAGATTCGGGTGAATCATCAACCTCTTCAGTTTTACATACAGAGTTAAGAGGAAGAAATTCAACCAAAAGAAACGAACGTGGAAGATCAAGCTATCGAGGTAAATCTAGAGATAGGAGATCAAAATCAAGGACTCCCAATAATTCCCAGAACTCGAAGTCTATTAAGTGTTGGAATTGTGGGAAGACAGGGCATTATAAAAATCAGTGTAGGAGTACACCGAAAAACCAAGAAGTAAAGGCAGAGGCAAATGTTACTTCTACCGTAGAAGGAGATGATGCATTAATATGCTCTTTACAGAGCAAGGAAGAATCTTGGGTGTTAGATTCTAGAGCATCATTCCACGCTACTTCAAAGAAAGAATTCTTTGATAAGTATGTCCATGGAAACCTTGGAAAAGTATACCTTGGATATGACCAACCTTGTGATACTGTTGGTAAAGGTGTAGTGAAGATAAAGTTAAATGGGTCAGTTTGGGAGCTGAAGAATGTCAGGCATATTCCCGACCTAAGAAAGAGTGGGCCGATGTTTGTAGATGAAGATTATATCCCCGATAGTATGGTAAAAGACTCGCCTATAAGAGAACCTCAACAAGAAGAATCTGTTGGACAGATCCTTACACCACAGTCCAACATGCCACAAACTTCTAGTCCAGCACCAGTATTGAGAAGGACTACTCGTCCACATGTACCAAACAGAAAATACGTGAATTATTTGTTATTGACTGATGAAGGGGAACTTGAATGCTATAATGAAGCATGTCATGTAAGTGATGCTAGGAAGTAGGAGCTTGCAATGAAAAATGAGATGAATTCTTTGATTTCAAAAAGGCACTTCACAACAAATGGGTATATCGAATGAAAAAGGAGCACGATGGTTCCAAGAGATACAAAGCTCGATTAGTAGTTAAAGGATTCCAACAAAAAGGAGTTTACTACAATGAGGTTTTTGCACCTGTTGTGAAACTTAATACCATTAGAACAGTGTTGAGTATTGTTGCCATTGAAAATCTTCATCTTGAGCAATTAGATGTGAAGACTGCATTTCTTCATGGAGATCTGGATGAGGAGATTTACATGCATCAACCAGAAGGTTTCTTAGAAAATGGGAAAGAAAATATGGTGTGCAAACTTAAGAAAAGTTTGTATGGCCTAAAACAAGCCCCGAGACAGTGGTACAAAAAGTTCAATAACTTTATACACAAGGAAGATTTCCAGAAGTGCAATGCTGATCACTGTTGCTACATTAAGAGATATCAATCCAATAATATCATTCTACTACTTTATGTCGATGATATGTTAGTAGCAGGTTCAAATATGGATGATATAAGAAGGCTAAAGGAGCAATTGTCAAAGGAATTTGACATGAAGGACTTGGGTCCGGCAAAGAAAATTCATGCAAATTACAAGGAATAAGCATAAAGGTACTTTGCAATTATCTCAATCAAAATACATCAAACGTGTTTTACAGAGATTTAATATGAGTGATGCCAAGCCAGTTAGTACACCCTTGGCAAGTCACTTTCGATTATCCAAGGATCAAACTCCTCAAACGGAGGAAGATAAAGATTATATGGCTAAGATTCCATATGCCTCAGCCATTAGTAGTTTGATGTAGGCAATGGTTTGTACAAGACCGGATATTGGACATGCAGTGAGACTTGTTAGCAGGTTTATGTCAAATCCAGGAAAAATTCATTGGGAAGCAGTGAAGTAGATTATGAGGTATCTACGAGGTACTACAAAAAAGTGCTTGTACTTTGGTAAAGGTGATTTAGCAATACAAGGTTATGTCGATGCAGACTTTGGAGGAGAAGTTGATCGTCGTAAAAGCATCACAGGTTATATATTCACGGTTGGAAATACAACGGTTAGTTGGATGTTGCAACTACAAAAGATTGTTGCTCTATCCACTACAGAGGCTGAATATGTAGCGGTAACCGAATATAGTAAGGAGATGATATGGCTTCAAGGTTTGTTAACTGAGTTGGGATTCAAGCAAGAGAATAATGTATTGTACAGTGACAGTCAAAGTGCAATACACTTGGCAAAGAATTCAACATTTCATTCTAGAACTAAGCATATTGGACTTCGCTATCATTTCATAAGATCTTTATTAGAAGATGAAGTGTTAAAATTGGAGAAAATTAAAGGAACTGAGAATTTGACAGATATGTTAACAAAGACGGTGACTATTGACAAACTGAAGTTGTGTTCAACTTTAGTTGGCCTACATAAGTAACATACGAGAAAGTTGAGCTGCATGAAGTAAGGTGTGAAGACAAATTAAAATTAGTCTTCAAGTGGGAGATTGTTAAGATCACCAGAATTTAAAAAAGGAAAACAAATATAAGCCTTAGAATTTCTTAGCAATACGTGAATGATTTCCTACAAAATGTAAAGGAGAAAATAGTTTTCTAATTTTAAGAAGTCATATTTAGAATATAGGATCTATATAAACTTAAGTTATGATTTGTTATATTCATCCCAAAAACAAAGAAAACATAAAGAGAGAGAGAAGCTTTAAGAGAATTTTTTAGAGAAAATTCTCGGGTGTGATTGGGGTGCATATGGTTGTGAGTTATAATAAGTGTTGTGAACACTTGTGTATTATTTATCTTTTGCAATAAATTTTACAGCATAATTAGAGATACAAATATTTGTTCATTTATTTGTATTATTCATATATATTTTTATTCCCACTAATCTGATTCTAAAGAGAATTTACATAGTATTTCCTAACAAACACTATGTTAGTATTCCACATTTATTTAACGAAATCAAATATACTAGTGAATGTAGTGATAAGTACCATGTGACAATGTCAATTATTTAGACCTTGTTCTTAAACTCAAAAAAAAAATATAAAAAACAAAATTACTTGTACTTACTGTGAATGATTTTTACCTGAATTTTTGCGGCTTCTGAGGCCAAAATTGGATCTTACGTTGATCCTCGGGATAAACTGTACGAAAGAGTCTATAATTCCAGTTGATAGGCTTATCTTCAGCTCCAGCAAGCACGGCCGAGTTTCCATATCCACTGTAAACATCTTCTTCCATCGCCGAGTAATTTAGTTTTTCCTCTAAAGGAAGTGCAAAAAACTGCCTAGAAACATCAAGCAACTCGTCCAGAAGTAAACTTGTCATCCCGTGGTTTATAACCTAATCATTAACAAAAACCACCAACAATTAACATAAACATACAACATTAAACATGTTTGATAGAGAATATACGCAAAATTTAGATCACTACAACCTGAAAACAACCCCAATTTTTGAAAGCAGAATGAAGCTTGGAAAGTTCATGTTGATGAGCAGATGAAGAACCACTGGAAATAAGATCGAAATCGATCAACAACATTTCTTGCCATAGATTCGTAGAGGCATCAATGGGTGAAGATATTACATCATTTTTAATGATGTATTTTTGTGGGACTTCCTCCCCTTTCTTTGCTATTTCCTGCACTAACCTTGATATTACATCTTCTTTTCTTGATTCATCCATTACACCTTCCAACTTTCACTCTGTCTAAATGTTTTAGTTATCTGTATTTATCAGCAACAAAAACCGGACATGTACTGTGCACAGATCATGTACATAGTTTTGGACTTTATAGTAGAAATCATATACTACCTCTGTTTTTTTAATTGAAACGTATTTAACTTTAACACTATTCACACACTTTCTTTAACCGTGTTTTCTGATTTATACGTAATTAATAATATAATCACATGATCTTTTGTTAAATTAGTCACGATATATTTTTAAAATATCAATTTTTTTTAATTTTTTGCTTATCAGTAGTTAAGGATAATAATAATTGAACTTGTCATGGATAAAAGTGTCCTCCCCCCCCCCACCCCCTCCAAAATGTTTCAATTAAATAAAATGGAAGAAGTATTTACTACTAGTATTTATACAGATAATCAGTAGTGCTTTGTCGTATTATCTCCTTTACTAATTAGCTGTACCGTATTTTTCTTATATAGTAGCAATTACTGGTAAAGGAGATGGTACAAATTACAGTACTAATAATGTGGAATATTAAATCATAACAATACAACTAATCATTAGTGCTTTGTCGTATTATCTCCTTTACTAATTAGTTGTACTTGTACCATATCTTTTTTTTATATACTCGTAGCAATTAGTAAAGGAGATGGTACAAATTAAAATACTAATAATGTGTACCAAATAAGCAAACAACAATATTTTAGCTTGTTTGCATCAAATAAAGCAATAATAATATAGTTTAAACATATTGATAGAGAATATATTTGGAAGATTCTCTTCACAAGTTTAGGATACTACCTGTCTTTCTTATAATATGTCACAAAAAAATATTTTATGTCTCATAAATAATACTCTTTGTTGCACATAATAAGACATGGAGATAGTTTTATTTTATGTAAATATATTTTTATTAGTTTACGCTAATATTTTAGCATGTTGAGATGAATATTCATTGTACACTCTTTGTTCCATAATAATAGACACACTTTGATTTTTTGCACTATTCATATACTACGATTGATGCATTAGAGGTGCATGGATAGGCAGATAATAGCCTAATAGCCACAGATTATGCTACAAGTACAAATCCATATAAAGTCATCTACAACGTAATTGATGCATTATTAGAGGTCCCCTTGTTAATTTAAAGGATCTCATAATGAGCAGGACATACAAACGTTAGTAACACCGGTTCACAAGAAGCCTCAAGAAATCAACCAATTCTTGGATGAGGTCCATTTTGAACAAAACTCAATACACTCGTAAAGCAGATTGGAACTTTATTTAGTACAAAAATTATGGAGAAAAGTTCATAAAATACAATAATGTCCAAGTTAATCATCTTCGATTATTCTTTGATTAGGATTAAAAAAACAAGAAGTTCATCATAAATTAAACTATACTAATGCTAAATTTTGAGCGCATCAAGCACCCTTTTGCCCTGAGGATAAGTCTCAAAGAACAACTGTTTGTAAGTTTTCATATTCACCTTCTTGTACAATTGTGGTTGATTACTACTAATCAATTCATTAATTGGCCCAACTTCATTTTCGGGTTCTGGAGTACAGAATGCAGCCACTGAGAACCTTTCCCTTTCCGAGTTAGTCACCACTCTGTGTGCTACACTCTTGAATATACCATTACTCATAACCTGCAATTTAAGTCCACACATAAAAAACACTAGTAAATACAAGAATGTTAAAGATCAAATTAAAGAGGATAACTGTTAGTTTTAGTTCATTGACATAGATGTCTTGGTAAATAGTTGAGAAAATTACCTCTGCAAAATCACCAAGATTAACAAATAGAGCTCCAGGTATGACTGGAACCTTGAACCATTGATCGTCTTTCTGGATATGCAGGCCTTCTGGCACATTTATGTCTGATAAAAGTACTGTTATAGAGGATCTATCTGAATGTGGATGAACACCATAAACTTTATCAGGCCGCGAACAACGTGGATAGATTCCAAATCTTGTGTCTATGGATCCTTGTTCACCATGCTCTTTTACGAAGCTATCTTCCTTTAGTCCCAGAGATCGCGCCATGGCTTTTAGAATGACTTCTAACATCTTTCTCAAACTCAAAGAGAATTCATGTAAAACTTCTCTGAGGTCACAATAATTTATCATATGTTAGTCTTCCATACATTTAATGTAATCAAATATACTAATGGTACATATTTACAAATGTACAACGTGACACTGTCAATTTTTAGGCCTTGTTTTTATACTTGGGAGAAATTACAAATTAATTTGCATATGAAAAAAGTACTTGAGAGAGTCAGCAAATAAAATACAGCTCTAAACTGAAAATATAAATCTTGATCAACAAAAATTACACGAATGAAGGGTAAAGATCGAGCCTTAATGGTTGAACAACATGTACATGTACCTGAACTTAAGCGGCGTCTGAGGCCAAACTTGGAGCCTGCGTTGTTCCTCCGGATAAACAGTAAGAAAGAGTCTATCATTCCAGTTCAGAGTGTGATCTCCAGCAATCACCGCAGCATTCCCATATCCATTAAAAAAGTCTTCTGCTATTGAACATTTTAGCTTTTCCTCCAATGGAAGTGCGAAAAATTGCCTAGACACCTTCAGCAACTCATCCAGAAATAAACTTGCCATTCCATGGTTTTTAACCTGATTAACAACACAAACCACAAACAAACATTAATCTACGAGGCACGAAACGATCAGCCTGATATCTAGAGGTAAACTCAATATCTCAAACCGGCGAGGGACATTAGACTCCCTAGGGATCTATCAATAAGTTGTTCAAATCTAAGATTTACACTACTATTATAAGCATACTAGAAAACTAGATTCATTAAGTCCAAAGAACATAAAAGTCAAAGATTACGAAGAAGAAAGAACATACAACCTGAAAGCAACCCCAGTTCTTTAGAGCATAATGAAGCTTGGCAAGTTCATTTTGAGTTGATGAAGAATCAGGGGAAAGTTGAGAGAAATCAATCAACAAAGTTTCCTCCCATAAACTGGAAGAAGCATCAATTGCTGGAGAAATAATATCATTTTTAATGATGTATCTTTCTGGGACTTCTTCCCCTTTTGTGCAATTTCCTGCACTAATCTTGATGCTGCATCTTCTTTTCTTGATTCAGCCATCACAACTTCAACTTTCACTTTAACTGAAGGTTTCAAATTCATATAGTTTTCAGCGAGAAAGATAGGGCATACCTACAAGTATCACCCCTTTAAGAAAATTATGTATTAACGTGAGATCTTGTTAAATTTGTCTTTATTCCGAATACTAATCCGACGCATCTCCATACCTACACACAAAAAAATATACATACAGAAAAACATTGATTGATAAAATAATAGTCGACATTATAATGATAAAGAATATTGAGTGAATATTGTGGATATTAATATTATTTAGATCGCTCATTGGGCACCGTAAGAGCAATTATATATAAAAGTGAAACACAGCCTATTAAAGATTGATATTGGGCTAAAGCAGTCCACTTATGCCTTAGGAATGTGTGACATAAAGTCATAATATTGGGTATTCATCCAATATTTTTAGTATTTCCTTCCCTAATTAAGGGACATAATCCACTTGTTAAGTGTCAACCACTCTTCACGTAGGGACCAATCCATAATTAATTGTAGGCAAACATCAATTTGTTTGCACCAAAATGAACATTATTTTTATTTACAATTTACATTCAATTTCATATTGCGTTATCATGAACAATGTAGTGATATTAATTCTTGTTAGATTATATCTCAGTGTATATTTTGTTTTAAAAAAATAATTCTTAAAATTTTTATAAATTCATAATTAAAGATATTAACAATTGAAGTTTACATGGAAAACTGAAAAATAAATAAATAAATATTACAAGTAAAATAGAGGAAAAAGCTTTTTAAAGAACAAGAAGCTCAAAATCCTGTTAAAGTAATTGATTATAAAAAATAACTACTACCTCCGTTAACAGTTATTTGCAAAGATTTGACATAAAGTAGAGAGGAAAGATGTCTAACCGTTGCAAATCGGAGGTAGTACATCTTACTAATTTTTTTGGATGGTAGCTTACTAATTCAAACGAAGAAATAAGTTACATGTTTGATTTAGTATCGAATTATAATATAAAGACAATGGAGCAATAAAGAGAACCATAACAATTCGATAAGATTTACTGAAATGGGAATTACTATAAATTGCCAAGAATGCAAAACTATACAAGAATCACTTTTTGCCTTGCATTAATTCCATAAATATCGGATGTCAAATAAATAGTGTATGTAGAATACATTTGAGTAGGTGAATTCAGCATCCTTTTACAATGTATGTAGAATACATTTGAGTTAGAATGTGAATCGAATCCAAAAAATTTCCCTTAATAAAGGGATGTCAGTGGTTAGGATTTCACCGCTCTCATATGAATGATGCTCGACCTGTAAAGAATGACAAAAAAATGATTTCTTGACTCGAACTAGATTTGTACTGTAATGGATTAAGCGAGCTTCTTTGCACGGCCACTTGAAGGCCCGGCAGCATCTTTTTTTGATCCAGGTTCCTCAGGTTTACGGGCCCAGGCTGGTGCTCGATCTGGTTCATAACGATAATCATAGAAAAGTTCTTCCCCTGCATTTATTCGTTCCTTGGCAAATATGCCCACTCGATGGTCACCAGCTACCATAATAACCTGCCATGGTATCAAACAATTAATGATATTTTCCGGCACATATGCCCACTTGACGCTCGATAGATACAAACAGCACAGGGAGGTCATGTAGCTATGCTATTTAATACAGAGTTTCCCATTTAAAAAAAAACAGCCACTCTATCACAAAAAATTACCTTTGCATAGCAATTTGGATCAGGAGAGTGATTGGCAAATTTCAACTTGTCCCCTTTTCGATAAGCATCTAGAACAAACTGCACAATCAGAAGATACAACTGTTAATAAAGAGAGAACAACCTGCCAATAATAAGTCCTATCTAAAACTGCACAATTAAAATTCAATCGACAGACCTGATCATTTAGATTGAAAAGAAATGAAGAGTTTTCACGGTCATATATCTTTCCACGTTTATCAGCTTCCCGGTGTGAGATTAATTCTCCAGTGTACTCCCCAAGGTATTCATGTTTCCCAACACCATTCTGAAAAAGGGGTAGAAACTAAGCATTATGCAAGCAGAAAAGATAAACATCAGTGTCGTGAATTTGAGATTTATCACCTTAAGAAATGCTCCCCAACCAGAAACATCAGACCTGCCAAGTAGAACCTGTAAAAAGAAACCCAAAAAAAAAGGAAAAAAAAAAAAAAAAAAAAAAAAAAAAACCTTAGTGTCATATGGAATCCTAGACATGAGATAATCACATGCTGCAGCAACGAACGCATAATTGGTCTAGGGTTAAATTTGGGTATGGTTTTCTCAATTCAAAATAAATGCATAATAGCCAACCAAACCTAATCACCTCTCTCTCCCCCTGGCAGGATATGACAATACTTCCCATTTTATTCTTTGGCCAATTTAAACGAAGAGAGATGCAGCAATCATCTCCAACCAAGCCCAAAACCCAGATACTAGTATCAAATCAGCACACTACATAGCTTGAGAATTAGGGGTTCAACACATCCGGCAATCTTTATCATTGCAAAAATAGAAACCCTAACCTACTCTAAACCCAATATTGCAGCGCAAGAAGACTGCAGTAACCTTTTCATAAATAAAACTCATAAGAAGCAGTGTATTACATCCTCCACCACGACTTTGCAATAAATGAATCCTGCGACATTGTGCTTAAATAAAGGGATCTTTTATGGAGCAGACCTAGTTTGAAGGTTGTACTTGTGCTGAGGACACAAATTAGAGTAGCGGATATCCTAGCAAGAGCTCTAGGAAGGGAAGTGCCACTTTCAAACATTTAGAAATTAAGATGGATCCTCCAACATACATTCTAATTTTGCTTTTGGATGGCTGTAATCCTAACACTGATGTAACTAAAGTTTTGTTATCTAGCCTCTTTGCTTCTAAACAAAAAAAATCGGGTTACATCAGTACAGATCATTTGCGAATTTTACTTTAAACAAATAAAAAAATAAATCACCGAAGTGACAAAGTCCAAAGTTTCCAAAGGAATCTCTGTAGCTTGAATTCAAAGCGGTTTATTACCATGTTTGTACCTAACAAGATAACTTCTCAAATTCTGAGCTAGCAAAACTAGATCCTACTCTTATACGCCAATCTATTAAAAGTTTAAACGTAACCTTGGACAAATTTGTTTCATTTATACCAATACCCCCGATCATTTTTAGAAGATCACATACTACACCTATCAATTCATATAAATAAGAAATTTAAGCCATTCCTATACACCACAAGCCAATTTAGATCAAAGATTTGTTGAGCCCTCAAATTTTCAACTAGCATCCTTTCAATAGGCCAGCTTTTAGCTCGGTCTTAATTTTCAAATACATTTTCTGCGTAAGTTGTATTTTCCACTAATTTTACCGATTAGAACTCTAGCCTTTTACATAAAAAAATATATAAATAAAGAGAGAGAGAGAGAGAGAGAGAGAGAGAGAGAGAGAGAGAGAGAGAGAGAGAGAGAGAGAGAGAGGACACTTTACCCGCTGCTGTTGCTTGAGCAATAGCTTCATATTTCTACATCCATAATTGTCACCTCTTTGATTTGGGACACCGAGTGTACCATCACCGCAACTGCAGATAAAGGTCAAAAAGGAAACCATTTGTTAGCAATGAATCTAAAGTAAAATATCCAAGCACGAATGTCTTTCAGCCAGCCTCTTGCATGCTTTGCATCTTACTACCCAAATGTTAAAATTGAACATTATTATAATCGAGGCTGCCCCGGTTTCTCAAGATGAGACTCAACATGAACAGTAGACGAGGCGTGCGAGACACGTGCTACATCAGTGTACTGTATTTTGACTTTTTCCCACTTCCTTCTTCCTCCTCTTTCGTCTTCTACCTTAGATCTCCAGCCATAACCAACGAATCTCCATCTTCTTCCTCCAATCCCAACCCATAATCACCTCCATTGAAGCTGCTTAAGCTTTCCTCTCGTGAATCACCAATTCTACCGCCATAGCCGCCGAGTTAAACTAAAACCCTAAGAAAAATGGTGAAAAAAATGGCATAGTTAACCCCAAAGGGTAATGATATCATCCTACTCCAATGACGAAGCTTGTCATGTTCAATTTTTCCATTGAAGCTTCCTTGTTTCTACATTGATGTTTCAGTTTCCATTTAAACCTTGGATCTGTTTTTTCCTAGAAATTTCAGATTTTTTTATACAAAATTTCAACATTACCCCAACTCAAAGACTGAAAATGACGAATTTGCCCTGTTAAGATACATGACATGTTTCTCATGTTGAAAAACTTGTATTTTCTCATTGTAATCCAGATACCATAAATCTAGATCCTCTTCATTTGCTCAATGTCGAGTCAAAGTTATAAACTATTGTCCATTAACTGAATCAATTCATCATAACCATTTTGAATTTACCGCATAAGTAATGCCTTAAAACATGACTCTTGAATCGTATAATGTACCGACAGTATAACTTTTTACTTTTTATCACAATACAAGGAAACAACAAATAAAAATTCCTATAACTAAATCTGTATCATGAACATGAAGTTTTCTTCTGGTTTTATCAACTTACAATAGATTATGGGACCAGTGCTTTAGAGATTATAATGTTGGCCTTTTTGGGATATCAACTTTGAGATGTGGCATGTTTACTTATTTCAATATAAGATTAACCTGTAGATCACTTGAATCAAGTGATGCGAAACTTAAATAGTTTTGGCCACAGCAACTTTCATAGTGACGCACATTTTATCACCCAATAATAATATGGAGACAATGGAATAACAAGTTCTATGGGAACATGATCATTTAACATTTTTTTTATCAAGCCTTTTTCATGACAATCCCACAAGCAAGAAGCAACAGCAGCTGATCAATATATATCATAATGCTCTTTACTAATTCTTGCATCTCATAAACAGTTGCTACTCTTGAAAAATCTTAGGCACTCTTAATCTGCTATAATTGCTCTACATCTACAGTATTCATTCATATGATAAAGTGCAAACAAATAATAAAATATATCGGCTCACCTAACCCAACAATTACGACAGACATCTGGATCACACTCCCTATCTGCAGCAAAGCATGGACATTGACGGCTTCTGCATTGACTTTTAGCACAGTGACAGCCCCGGAATCTATTTTTGCAGTTCTTGGGACACCTACATGAAGAGAGATTGGCACCATTTAGCAATGAAATCAGTATGCTGAGTTAAACTGGTGGAATAAGAAGTTCAATCACAAAAAGTAAGCAGAGGTTTAAATACTCGGTCACAACCCAAATTTGATACTTAGCACAACCCACTCTGAAAAGGTAAAACTCACCCGCAATATTTCTCACAGCATGTACCGTTTAAAAGACATGAACACTGCTTTCCGCAAGAAGATTCACACCCACAAGGATTATACTGTCGACAAGGCTGATCCTTTCTCTCTGAAATCCGCTTTCTAATGGAATGGTAACCTGTGGACTTCCATGTATACTTCAAACGGCGAACTCTACCTCTCCGCCGAACATATCTTGATCTCCTCCTGATGTCATTGCCCTAAAATGTACACACCAAAAGATGATAAACATAAGTCACAGATAAATATACAATGCATACTCTCAACATCATCAGGACCAGAATCTGATAACTAACCATGGTTCCAGTGCACTCAAGGTTTGTCCCATCATCACCGCCTTGGTAGGATAGATTATTATTCAAGTGATTCATGTACTGATAGACCTCTGAACATGTCTTCAGTCCATTCAAAAGGTTTCTAGCAATCAAGCAACTGCATGAAGTTGAACATAGAGTTACAGGCAATACAGATCAAAGAGTAAGCCTTAGACTAAAAGCCCAAACCATGTAATACTATAAATAAGCAAAGCAGCCCCTCAGTTGAACCACTAACTAAACAATTGTTCACAATAAATTATAAACAAATCTTAAAATCTTTGTACACTGTACAAGAGCAAAATTTGTTCCATGTAGAAGAAAATCATAATTCCTCTTATATTTTCTACAGACAAACAAGACTTTGTATTTAAATTGCATGATGACAGAAAAAAATAAAAGTAATTAAACTTGAATTATCTTGCTATAGCTTACTACCAAGTTTACTAAGTTCTTGTATTTGCATCATTTCCATCAGTGAAATTGGCCATGAGATATGTGTATTAATACTATATCACATGGACTTTTCATTTCACCAAGAGTCATGTATTAAATACACATGCCTCCGACATAAATATTCACTATTGGGCATTTCTATTTAGGCAAAAAAAATGCAAATTTTTTTTGAAAATGTCCTAGTCATTGACATATACCCTTGTTGCATACTCGTACACAAGTCCATGCAATACAGATCAGCTCAAATATACCACAATAGTAAATTTAAATCTATGGAAACACAGATATTGAAATGACCTGTTCCTGCCGAAGACCTCCAAACCCTTCTCATAAAGTGCTTTTTCAAGAGCCTTCCATGAACTGTCATTATTAACTTCTAGTTTTCCAGGGCTTTCATCTACAAGTTCTTCTTTCTTTGACATGTCATCCAAATGACAAGTAGATTGATCGTTGGATGCTACATTAAGAAGATCACTAGGAGTCTCACAGTTTATGGACTTGGAGCTTCCCACAGCCAGCGAAGCCTTCCTTGACCTTTCACCAGTGCTTAAATTTCCTTTCTTCTGTGGAAAACTTGCAACATCATCCTCCTTGCGTGCCCGAGATCGAAGCTTCATATCTCTAGACATGGTAGGTCCAGCGTTGACTGAATCAGCATCTGGAGCCACCATCTTTTTGTGCCTCTTCTGGATTGCAACCACTATCTTTTCAGCAGCTCGCTTATTCCTACTTTTGCGAGCTCCAGATTTCCCAATCAACTTACGCTTAGAATGGATAGAAGATTGGTCAACAGAGTTGTTATCTTGAACAAGTCTTTCATCAGAATCACTGCTATCAGATGTATTTCTTGCATGTGACGAGGCACTTTCACTCTGAGTGGATTTTCCCTTTCGCTTGCTAGAAGAACCAATAGACTTCTTTCTTGGTGACACCTCAGCAAAACCATCATCAGACGAAGGGCCAGGCTTAGATTCAGAGCCATCAAATTTTTGGGAGATGACTGCAGAATCACCTTCATACTTAGAAGCCTGCATAAGCAGATTGGTCTATGCATTAACATTAACAGATCTAACTTTTTAATTTAAAAAATATATTATTGCTAACATTCCCCCCTCCCATTGTATACACCAAAATATTAAACATACCGTACGATAGCAGTGCAAACCACATGGTACATTTGCCTCCTCGGAAGAGCTCCAGGGATGTTGTTTCTCAGTCTATAAGGTTAATAATTTTTTTTAGAAAAAAAGGAGGGGGAGAGAGAGAGAGAGAGAGAGAGATGCATAGGCAATAGAGGAGGGAAAAAAAAAAGTAAATTTTGAGCAATATACTATGTACTTACAGGAAAGATGAGATCCTGTGAGCATCCATGCAATCTACAATCAAAAACCTGCCAAAAAAAGAATCAGCAACAAAAGGTTAGACTAAGAAGATAAACAATAAACAAAAATCTCAAGAAGGTCAAAGACAGTAGTTACATAACAACGGCGACAGAACAGGTTGTCAAAAGAATCCAAAGCTCCTTCCAAATCTTTATCAAGATACGGGTTTGAATTTTCTGAAGTCTCCATGGTATCCCCATTTCTTACACCTGTCATAGCCTTCTCTTCCTCACAAAGAATTTCATATCTTGCCTGTATAAGACGTTTGACGGTGTTTCATTTCTCTGTAAGGAAAGCACAGAAAGAATGGGAAACAGCTGGACCGAAGTTCACACTCTGACCAGTGTATCGGATTGCATGTAACAGTAAAGCAACAAACACTACGGTTAATTTTTCAAGAATAAACATAATAATAATGTCTTTCTCCCAAATACCTTGACATCACTAGGTTTTTTGGAAAAGCACTGTCCAAGTAAATCCAAAACAGCATCTGATACACCAACTTCCTGCACTGTCATTCTGGAAATAAGCAAACAGCAAGAATGAGATAAATTACAGCAAGATCATGATTATCAGCAAAAAATTACAAAAAGTTAAGCAAGCGGAAAAGTAAAATCACCAAGAGTAACAAAAAAAAAAAGTAATACAGATTACATCATCACACCATTATGCAAAGAAAAGAAGCCTTCTTATACTCCCACTATATTTTGTTCTACCCACTTTCCCTTTAAATGTATTTTTGGCTCTGCCCTGAAATGCTTAGCCCCTTCAGTTTTTCCATCATACCCGTGTAAACACAATCTGATCCGCGTGCAAACACAGGATGTGGGGAAGACAGATGTGGCAAAAATCAAAAGGCAGTTGCAATGAGGCATGCGTAAGTTTGATAACAGGGGAGGAAAAGATAAACATTTAAAGAACTTACCTTACTTTTTTTAAAGAAAGAATATTATTTCTCTTCAGGCTAGCAGTAACAATCTCACCTTTTCCCAATACAAATTTATAACACACATTCTAAGTTTCTCTCAGCTCACCCTATAAATATCTACCATATTTATATAATTTGTTTAATCCAATTTCTCAGATTTCTGTAATTCATAAACTGCTTCTTATAGAAAGGGGGAAAAAAAAAGGAAAGACTCATAAGCTTTCAAAATTTTAAATAACAATATAGTATCAAAAAAATCTATACATATATTTTTTTTTTTCATGTCCCCGAGTCTATATCTAAGTTTAAGGGACATAGGGAGTATAAATGTTATCCTATATGGTAAGTTGGTAACAGTTATCTAATAAAGAGGAACATTATGTACTTATATGTGAGACACCCTGCACACTTCAGCTGCAGGAGAGAGTTATATGGATTAAGATCTTTGACAATTAAAAGGGTAAATTTCAGTTTCAACAGGCTACTTAAATCAAATTGAGCAAGACATTAGGCAGAGACATGCAGTTAAAGACCATCACACCTCAGCTCCATTATTCATCAAATTGAGGCTTCTCTAGATACTAAAATACCATTCAAAATCTGGAACATAAGCATATAGTATCCTCCTCAAACTCTTCATTAATCATTTACAAAGCATGAAAGCAGTAATTGACATTTGACAGCCATATTTTATTCAATAGGTCTAGTGCAAATGAAGGAATGTAATTACCATGAAAGATAATAACATTTTCATAGGCTCTGTGAAGATGTATCAGCATAAAGCCCCTATTCTACTTATAAAATAGGAAACAATAGAGCAGGGGGACAGGATATAAGTGCAGCAAAAGGAAAGATATTGGACATCACTAGCTATTATTTTCTTTTGGATTATAAAAATATACTGTTATGTGTTTCGTTAGGACACAAGAGTGAAATGTCCACTGCAAAGAAACAAAGAGCATGGAATCAATGAATAGTCAAGCATATATGGAAAGGGTTGCCTATACCAACCGAAGGATGTAATCTTCTGATCGAACAAATTCCTTCTTGTCTTCTTCATCCTCAATTACTTCTTCCTCACTGTCACTGCAAATTAGGGCCTCCCCGCCATTTGGATCATAATAAATTCGCCTTCTACCTACCACAGATTGGTCTTCTGTCATCCTTTGGTTTCTGACAAATGAAAAACACAATCAAAATACAAGACATGGACAACATTGAACAAAGGCAAACAATGACAAAAATACAAAACCCAATAGAACACTCGGAAAACATGCATAAGCTTTAAAACCCTAACTCCATGCCTTCCTTAATATGATGCCATTCAGTCTGATTCTACATTCTGGGTCCACCTCCGGCCATCATATTTACTTTAAAGAAAGTTTTAAGTTTCTTTTCGAATGCAAGTTTTATAATAACATGGACCAAAGGTGCCTTTAATGACAACCCATTTTTAAATTGTTGTAGAAATGTGTAAGGTTTTTGTTTTAACTTTATAGCGTCCCTCAAACTCCTTGATCGATGGAAATTGAAATTAAAATGGAACAATATTCACTATTGCCACATGAAATTTAAGCTTCACATCTTCTTGCAATAGAGTTAGATAAAACGCCATAAGCAGGAAGATATAACGAAACAAATTATACACAGTTTTACCTCCAACCATTCATAATCCTCATTCCCATATTATTCAAAAATATTTCATCCATCTGTATAACTCCTTCCATTTATACAATCTCTTAGAGATCTAATACATCACAAAATCCAAACAAGCTTTTTTCTCTTCACCTTGTACTAGAAACTTTATTTTCTGAAGTATTAGAATAAACCAAATCAAACCAGACAAGATTTTAAAATATTTTCCTATTTTCATCTTTTATTACCAAAATAGTAAAATTTATATTAGTAATATTCTGAAAATTATTAACGGAGTGATTGGAACAATACACAATAAGATGAATCTAGCAAGATCCCACTTGAAAATATTTTCACATCATATTAGGGTAAAACTTCAGACCTTCAGTCATATCAGACTAGACCAAATCTTTAAAAATTGAGACCAAAACAATTTATCTCATGTGAAAAAACCAAAGAAGGAATCTTAGCATCAACCCATAAAGGGACCCCAAGAAAAGCCATAAGGAAGACAAAACCATATAACCTCGTAAAGACAGAAATCTAGCCAAAGCAGGATAGGTACACTCTTGAAAAAGAATCAACAGTATAAGTTCAGACCAGCCACGAGCAACAACTAATTGAGGTCAAATTTGAATAGCACACATCTAACATGTGCTTAAATATCCCACACAGGATAGGTACACTCTTGAAGAAGAATCAACAGTATCACAAAGAACATATTGAAACATAATACCACCTATATCTGCTGGATACCCTCATTATCCACCCTTTTTAAACACATAAAAAAATGAAGAAATTTTACAAGAAAGCACCACCTAAAAGTATGTTATCCAAAATTGTTGACAAAAATACAATCAGGCAAACTTTAGAAAATAAAAATTAGAAAAATAAAAACTTAGCCCATAGAACGAGCTTTAAAACAAAGACTATACACCCAAAGTGATAAAATGGAGAGTCATTAATTATTGTGTGATACATGTCCAGATCCACAACGCCAGTGTCCAAATCATTTAGCACCTTAATACTGTATATAAGAATTTTTCGCTCATTCTCCAAAAAAAAATTAAGAAAAAAAATCACTTATACACCAACATTTCCTAATAAATACATAAAAACTCTCCAGGACTAAGGGATTTCTTATCTTTTATACCCCAATTCCCTAGTAATCTCCTCCCAAAATATATAATCCAGCAAATTACTAACTAAACGACGTAAAACCCTTTGACTAGACCAAAAATCACAGGGTGACAATCCACCACAAATAAGTATTTATAGAAATCATTCTGCTCTAGAGAAAGACCTCCGCGTGACTCACAGTCTCAACAGTTTCTCTTTCCAACACCTTAACATCGCAGCATATTCAATATCTTATAAATGAAACTGATTAGTATCCCTCTCTTTATCTAGCTGACATCTTCTAGCACCCAATCCTGTTTTCCAACAACATTTCATTCCACCTAAGAGCCTACATCTTTAAAAATTCAACAAGACACCAAAAATATCCATCAAATGATCATGCCTAAAACCTCCATCTTGTTAAAAGTCTCTTCCTCCATAGTCTTAAGATCAATTTTAAAATAAAAATAAAACACTTTTTGCTTTTGTTTGACAAATCTTAGCATTCTCATAAACCTAGAAAGTTAAAACGACTCTATAAAAACATGAGAGGTAGATCATTAGAAATTTTAATATTAAAGTTAGACGTTGACAAATTGGACCACCAAACTATAGAGTAAATTCAACCTAAAGTTGGAACAAAATACATCGACCATTTTTGTACTTCAGACACCCAAATAACCATCAAAGACTATAAATGAAGATATATTTAATCTCTTGTGCAAGAAAATTAACTCCAGCATTTTGGCTAAAACCAACCTACCTAGTATAAATATGAGAATATTTCAAACATTGTGCAAGAAAGTTAACTATTTCACCTATGGACCTGGACAGATCGTAACAAATTTAGACTGCAACACAAGAAAACAAAGTGCAAGCTACTGGGAAACATTATGAAGATACAAGACTACAAAATTTATCCTACAGTGAAAGTTATATGTTCCTGCTCTATAGCTCAGGGCCTTCAAGCATTGTTCTACAGTTGGAGCCTTATTCACAAAAGTAATTGTGAGCATATGAAAACTCCACGTATTATTTAAGGGAATCAACAGAAGTCCTTTTTAACACAAATTTTAAATAATATTTATGGATGCAAATGCTAAGGTTTTTACAGAAAAGGTAATAAGGAGGCGGATTGGGATGGAGTGGTGGATCCACACATGACTTGGTTACGAATGAAGAATTGTTTTCTGAGAGTGGCCAAAAAGGTCTGAGGGGAATCAAGGGGAAGAACTTCGATGCAGATACTTGGTGGTGGAATGAAGAGGTGAAAGCAGTAATTAAGCAAAAAAGGGAATGTTATCAAGGAAAATGTAGGAGTGACAAAATCTTTGGAGCGTATAAGGAGGTTAAGAATAAGGCAAAGGCAGCTGTTCGCCAAGCGAAAGAAAAGGCTTATCATGAGGTTTATGAAAAGATTGACTCCAAGGAGAGAGAAAAGATCATTTATAAGATGGCAAAGAGAAAACAAGCAGCAAGGAAAGATATTGGCATGATAAAGTGTGTCAAAGATAAGAACCAAATTGTCCTACTACAAGAGGAGGACATCAAGGATAAGTGGAAAGGGTACTTCGATGAACTGTTTAATGGAAGTAATGGAGTTGAGATAGGAGATACCTCCGTGAAGGATGAAGAAATCGACATGGAGTATGTGCGGAGGATTAGGGGAGTAGAGGTAGAGATTGCACCGAGGAAGATGAAGCCTAAGAAGGCGGTTGGCCCTAATGGTACACCGATAGAGGAGTGGAGGTGTTTGGGTAAGATTATACTGATTGCTTAGCAGATCTCTTTAACAAAATATGGAGGGCTACAAGGATCTGGCAAGATTGGAGGAAGAGCACCTTAGTCCCGATCGATAAAAACAAAGAAAACGCTCAATATTCTTGTAACTATCGAGAGATCAAGCTTATGAGTCATACTATGAAGTTGTGAGAAAAAGTGATTTGAACACGAGGGCATGCCCAAGCATTTCGGATAACCAATTTGATTTTGTGCATAAGAGATCTAATATGGAAGCAATCCATTTGATAAGACAAATGATGGAGTTTTATAAAGTAAAGAAGAAAGATCTTCATATAGTTTTTATTGATTTAGAGAAGGCATATGATAAGGTGTCAAGAGAGGTACTTTGGTGGGTAACTTTGACGAAAGGTATCCCACGAAGGTACATGAATCTTGTTAAGGATATGTATCGAAATGTGTCAACAAATGTGAGGACATGTGGAGGATTGACAAAAGATTTCCCTATTACAATTGGATTGCATAAGGGTCTGCATTAAGCCCTTTTCTTTTTGCAACGGTTCTAGATGAAGTAACTAAACAGATTCAAGATGAGGTTCCATAGTGCAAATGATATCGTTTTGATGGATGAAATTAAAGATGGGGTTAACGCCAAATTGGAGCAATGGAGGCAAAGGTTGGAATCTAGAGGGTTTAAGCTAAGTCGGCGTAAGACTAAATATTTGGTATATCGCTTTGGTACGCAGAGGGGACAAGCAATGAAGTGGTGAGTTTGGATGGAAAGGATTTGACCATGAGCGAAAGTTTTAACTATCTTAGGTCGATCATCCTGGAAAAACGTGGCACCCAAGAATAAGTTGGGGTGGCTTAAATGGAGAGCGGCAACAGGAGTGTTATGTGACCGAAACATCCCCTTACAGTTGAAAGGAAAATTCTACAGGACTGTAATAAGACCAGTGTTGCTCTATGGTACAAAATGTTGGGCTTCTAAGAAGGAGTACAGTAACAAGATGGAGGTTACGGAAATGCGCATAATAAAGTAGATGTGCAAGAACACTCTAAGAAATAAAATCAGAAATGAGGTTATTTGCAAGAAAGTAGGTATGACAGGGATTGCAAACAAACTAAGGGAAAATCGTTTGCGATGGGCATGTAAGACGGAGACCCGAGGGTGCACCGGTTCAAAAAGTGGAAGAGTAGGAACATGGAGGGGTTAAACGAGGGAGAGGGAGACCGAAAATAACTTGGTTGAAAGGAGTTGGGAAGGATATGAAGTATATGGATTTGCATGAGGATGAAGTATTGGATCTAAGGGATGGAGGAGGAAAATTATGTCGATGACTACACGGAATAATCAAATTTGGTTCATGTAGCTGACCTTACTTATGGGATTAAGGCTTTGATTGATTTATTTATTTTATTACTAACAATTTGAATTACGAAGTATAAAAGGATGGGGCAAACGCAGTCTTCAAGTGAACTTAATATTTTTAAAAGGATTTTAATAAAAGCATAATCAAGATAGATAAATCAAGCAATCAATCAATCAATTAATCAATCCTTAATCACATAAGTGGGGTCGGCTACATGAAATAATCAAGATAGATGAATTTCTAAATTTCTAAGATGTGAAATCGAAAAAAAACTTCAAATACTAAAGAGTGGTGTAGAGTCATGTCCCAAATAATGAATCGTTTCTTTCTTCATGTTGCAGAATCCCTTTCAATGAAAGCACTTTTACATAAGCGGTAAGCCCTACCCCTACATTCCCCATTATATATACAAAAAACAAAATACAAATTTATTCATAGTTAATCCACCAAAAAGCCTATGACAACTACGACATATTTGAAAGGGGGGGGGGGGGAAATCAAGTTGATACAACATAAACAAACTTATGGCATGTGCATAAAATTAACATTATATGGAGAATATTTTCATCAAGGTACATATTAACCTTAACAAACCTGTCCAAAAAAATCCATGTAGTATAAGGTGGTAATCTCTTTACTCCAGGAAGTCTGATGGCTCGAATAGTATTCTTATTAGGGAAAGGAGAACCTAGAAGAATCGCTGTATCTTCAGGTGAGACATTGGCACCATCACCTTTGTTACCAGCTCCAATACCGTTTTGCATATTGACCGCATCAGTCTGCCTTTTTACCAATAAAGCTGCATTCTTTTCCAAGTCGTTAGGCGTCACATTTTTTCTTTCCTTTCCTAAAGTCACTTTGCACAACTTTTGCCTGTTTTCTTCCATTATGTTCTGAAAACAAGCATGAAATCATAAGAACAAGAATCCTTCACTCACTAACAATTACAAAAACAAAAACAAAAAAAAAACCTTAATTCCGCCCAACTTTCCAGATAACGAGCATAAATTAAACCCTATTCAAAATTGGTTTTCAAACCATCAACTTAAAACACTCAAAAATTCCGCCCTTACGCCATCCTTTCATCAGCATTGCTGTTAATACATCAGTAATTAAAATAAAAAAACACTATTTCCCATCTTCCATACGCGTAAATCAGTTAAAATTAGCCTTTAACATGCCACATTGTTATTAAACCGAAATCTAACTTTGCAAATTTTCAAAACACAAAAAATTAGGTTTCTGAAAAATGCACCTTGACATAAACATGCCGTTGAGCTTCAACATGTTGCTTCAACGAATCGATAACCGATATAATCTCCTTTGGTGCGACACTCATATTCGTAAGCTCCGACACCTTAACCACATTCATAGCAAACAAAATCGCACAAAAAATCAGAAAATTCATACAAAATCCGACAATAATCATCACTTAAACTGACGATGAATGAGAAAAAAATTTACCGGCGTGCTCTTGGAAGGTTCCGATCTAATTACAGACAGAGAATTGGAGCGCGAAGGTTTGATAGACATCGCCGACGATAAAAGAGCTGCCGGAAGTGACGGTAAAAAGCGCCGGCGGTGGAAATTGGTGTCGGATGCGAGTCATGCAGATGCGAGAATGTGAACGGCGGCGGAAGACGGCGGAGACGGCGGCGGAGGCGGTAAATCTGGCGGGAGTTTCGGAAACCCTAATTTGAGGAGAGAGAAAGTTGATGATGGTAAAATTTGAGTAAGTTGAAAGAGAAAGAAAGAAGGAGAAGGAGGAATTTTAGGCGGAAAGAGAAGGAGTGGCTTTTACGTTTTGAATTTGTTTATTGAGTTCTTTTTGTGTCGTCACCTGGACTCGAAGCTCAACATGTTTCATAGCACTACTTTCAAGAGTTAAAGACGTCTTATCGAACTAAAGCCTGTAAGAGCACTAGCAATGGTGAGTGTTTTTTTTGCTCATGAGAATTTTTCGTGAGTAAAAAAAATGATCATGAGCTACAATGGTGAGCAAAAGTTAAAATAGGAAAAAAAGCCCATAAACATTTCCAAAAAAGCTCAAAACTTGAGCATTTTTATTGATGAATAGTAACTGGAATGGGGCCCACAGCTGGCTGGAAAAAACAAAAAAAAAACGGACTCCAAGCATCAAACGACGCGTTTTGATGAGGTCCCTCAAAGGCGCGCCTATCAAAACGCGTCGTTCTGATGAATCAGAAAATAAAATAAAAAAAAAGGCTGGTTTGCTGACGCGTGCAGTGAGGGAAGCAATGAAGACGTGACACGTGGCGGGTGCAGGCAGCCAGCCAATCAGAAAATACTAGCCGTTTTACAACGGTTATTTATTTATAATGCATTTTCAGAAAAATATATTTTGTAAAAAAAAATAAAAAATTACCAACGGTCATAAAATTAAATTCTCTATAAATAGACATGCATTTTGATATATTTTGACATAATTTCGTAAACACTTTAAAATCCTCCAAATTTTTATTTTCTTAAAAGTATTTTAAATTTGTAGAAGAAGGTAGTGTTTGCAATTCAGCCATATTGAGGTAAAAAAAAATTTATTTAATTTTTAAAATCAGTTATATAATATAAGTAGTATATATGTGATTTTTTTAAAAAAATAAAAAAAAATTGTAGGCCATGTAATTATATTGCAATATGTAATTAAACAAAGTTGTGTATATTTTGTCCATAAATTTCTAAATTTGTACTTATTAAAGTGTTGCAATTATTGGTTAATTTTTTTTGCTATATATAAATGTAGTTACATAATAAAAGTAGTATATGTTTGGTTTTTGGAAAAAAATCAATATGATAGGCCACAAAATTATATTGCATTATGTAATTAAACAAAATTGTGTATATTTTCTCAAGAAATTTATAAATTCATACTTCTTAAAGTGTTGCAAGTATTGGTTAATTATTTTCTTTAATATGTACATGTAGTTATGTGTTAAAATTAGTATATATGTTATTTTGTGAGGAAAAAAAAAATATTGTATGGCATGTAATGTAATTGCATTATGCAATTGAAGAAAGTTGTTGATATTTTTTTGGATTTGTTATCATTTTAATTTGTTATGGCATGTAATGTAATTGCATTATACAACTGATGAATTGGCCAGAATACTGCATCAAAATGAACTGCGTGGATTTTCAGGCATGATAGGCAGCATTGATTGCATGCATTGGGAATGGAAGAACTGTCCAACGGCATGGAAAGCGCAGTACGCCGGTAGGAACAAGAAAGCAACGCTAATACTGGAAGCCGTTGCAGATCAGGATTTATGGATATGGCATTCCTTCTTTGGGATTCCTGGATCTTGTAATGACCTAAATGTCTTATACCGTTCCCCAGTGTTCGATGAGGTTCTGCATGGTTGAGCTCCTCCGGTAAATTTTACCGTTAACGGCCATGAATACAACATGGCATATTACTTAGCCGACGGAATTTATCCGAAGTGGGCAACTTTTGTTCAGGGTATCACAACCCCTCAACTTCAAGAAGATAAATTGTTCGCTGACCACCAGGCTGCTGCTCGAAAGGACGTTGAAAGAGCATTCGGTGTTTTGCAAGCTCGATTTGCAATAATACGAAAACCGTCACTGGCGTACGATGAGGACATACTGCGAGACATAATGAAAGCATGTATCATTATGCACAACATGATTGTTGAAGATGAGCGCCACAACTACACTCGAGCTGAAGTTCTAAGAGCCTTCTACGAAGAAGATCAACAAGAATCAACACCAGCATCAACATCTACAACGCCACCGTTTGAATTCAACGTAGGCCGACCTACCAACTTTGACTTCAACGCATTTCTACAGCGAAAAGCTTCCCTCTGTGACAGAGAAATTCATCTATCTCTGAAACGTGATTTACTCGAACATATTTGACAACGATACGGGCCACGTAATTAGGGAGAAATTAGACGACTTAAATAAAGCCAAGTACTATGGCGTAGCTACTTTTCCGTACGCAGTCGAGTTATTTTTTAGTTGTTGTGTTTATTTTATTTCCTAAGTTTAATTGCACATGACGTTGCAAATGTAATTGTTCTCTAGTATTGTACCGCTTTTAAAATAAATAAAAACATTTAACAAATTATGAGCTTTTTTTTACAATTTTTTTATATAACGTACTTAATTTTACGACAAATTTTAACGATAAAAAAGACAAAAATAAAAAAAATAAGTTACACATTTTAAACTAGTTTTTATTTATTTGGAGTAACATTGTTAAAATATAAATGAAATAAATAAATAAAGAAGTGTTGTGTAGGAGAGAGAAAGTTATGGTGGGGTATTGAAAAAGTAAGAGAGAGATAGTGGTGGGTGAGCATTTTTTTTGCTCACCATTGGGAGAGGAAATGTGAAAAAAAATTTCCCATGAGCAAAATTGATTTGTTGAGAGAGAAAGTGGGTAGAGAGAGAGTGGGTGAGCATTTTTTTTGCTCACCATTGAGAGTGGTCTAACAAAATTACCGGTTAATCTGGCCTGACTAGATTCCTCGAATGTTATAAGAATGGTAAGGATTCTAAGGAAATACCACCCAAATTTCCTTTAGTGAAGATGGTCTTACAACCTCATTATGTTTGTACGCTATTTGCTTACTTAATGATTTGTAATGTTTAAATTTTTAAATCTTATATTACTCCATACAATCCATAATATTATTATTAATGCTACCAATTGGCTATTGGTGTAGTGGTGATTGAGACTACACTTGGCAAGGAGGACCGCGTGTTCGATCCCACGCAACAACAATTGAGAGGGGACTGGAACCTAACCACCCGGAACTGATCCCCGAATCCGGATTAGCCCAAAGGGTGAACCGGGTGGAACACCCAAAAAGGAAAAAAAAAATAATAATGCTTTCTCGGTTCTTGATTAATAACATACTTTTTATGCTTTTTTTTACTTGTAACACACCTTTCAGGCACGCGTTTTAAGGAGGTGATGATTAGTGAAGGTAAACGAGTGATTTTATCAGAATATTTTTAACACAATGATTAGAGAAAGATTAGGTATTATATGTAAAAATTATGTTGAATATTATGTCTGTTTATATTGTATTATCTCGACCTCAAAGTGTATGCTACATGGCTGTGTTACAAGTAAATAAAAACGGAGTAAGTATGTAAAAGCTAGCTCAAATTTTAAGAAAAGTTAAAGGTGGAGTTTTGGACCAGAAATGATCTACATGATTAGAGAACTTCGTAGAAGAAATGAAAAAAGATAAATGGGTAGAGTGGCTAGGATTGATCGTTGTAGGATTTCTAACTTATACAATAGTGTAAACACATCTAAAATAAACTTGTTGGAATATTGTAAATTTTTTCAAAATAGCATTGTTGCAAAGTGCAGGCTTTTCTCTTGTGGCGAGCGAGTTCAAATTTCTCAATATAATGTTTAAATGGCGTAAACACAAATAAAATGACTTATATTAATTTTTTTATATTTTTTGTCCTACTATTTTTTTTTCATTTCCTTCTTCCTCAATCCCCACCAAGGCACCCATGACCCATATCCACCTTCGTCCTTTTTTCCACATCCTCTTCCCACTACTTTCATTATAACTCTCGGTAATTGTGCTTTTCCCCTCCATTGAAGTTGCTTGAGCTTTCCTCTCATAAACCACTATTTTCACCACCATATTTCAAATCCCTGAATTAAACGAAAACCCTAAAAAAAGGGGAAATTAAAGGACATGATTAACCTTAAAAAGTAGGGGTGTCATCTTCCTCCATTAAAGCTGCATGCCGTCTTCGATTTCTCCTTTAAAAAATTCATTTTCTCCAATAAAGCTCTTTTCTATGTTTTTCTTAAAATCTTTTTTTTTTCTTGGACAAAATTAAAATATTAACTCAATTTATTGGTGAAAATACGAACTTGCCCCTTTAAAATGTGTATTTTCCGTCAATTTTTTTTTTGTATTTTCTTGAGGCTCTCTTTAACAAAATAAAAAAAAATCACGTTGAGAAATTTGGACTTACCCCTTAAAAAAAAAAAAAACAAAAGAAAAAAGAGGGATAGCTGAAGTCCCTCTTGGTTCCGGGATCCTGAGTAAATAAACGATTTGAAGAAGTTTGTAAGCATCATTCCAAAAATCAGAGGCAATGTCGACGGCGGCACTTCAAGGCGGCGGCAGCGGGAGCAGCAACAGCAGCAGCCACCACACTAACAGCGGTGATTTGGGTGTTGATGATTTCCACTTCTCCTCTTCTCAACTCCTCTCTCTCCTTGACTCCAAGGAAGACGCTTTTGAAGGTGACCCTTTCTTTTTTTCTTCCAATCTCTCCATTTTCCCTTGTTTATATTACTTTGACTATCGCCTTATTTATCATTTTATCTGCAATTGTTCAATCTCTATTTAATTTAATTTCAAATTATGCAAAGTATATGAATTTGGAGCTCTAGGTTTAGCTGCTTCTTTTTTTTAATTTTATTGGAAGCTTTTTTTAAGGTTAATTTTAAATCCTTTAACATTTATTTCTATGAAAAAGTATAGCTTTCCTTCAATAATGGCATTAATTGTTAAATTTATTATACCATGATACTCTTTATTTATAATCCTTTTTACGAGGAGGTTGTGGCATTTTGGGTGTGAAGTTGTTATTTTGTTTCAATACAAGATGAACTATTAGGTAGGGAATTTGACAGTCTTTTTTCCGGATTTATATGATGCCGTCCATTGATTGGTTTGTTTTGGCATTTTCAGCACTAAAAGCTGATTTGATGGATGCACTTAACAAAGGAGTTAAGTCATTAGATGAGGATAGCTGGATGTTTGATGGACCTCGGTCACGAATCAACCTCGTATCGAAGCCAGGTTCGTTTTATTTGTCATTTTGGTCATGACTGTTTGAAATTTGCATGCTTTTTCATGGTAGCGTTGATTATGGTAGTTTTGTTTATGTGCTTTGTACAAAAAATCTTTTTTCCAGAGGGGGAATGGAAATTCTATTGTTTTATGTCTACAATGGGGTAACTTGTATGGCATGCCCTACGGTCTATGGAAATGCTTATGATGAAGTGGAAGTTTTGGGAAGAGGTATCCAAATTCCAACCCCTAACTCCGCAATACGACTAATGTGGATGTCAACTTCATAGTTACTATCTGGTACTTCACCATAATGTAACTATCTTTTAAATGATGGCCAACAAGAGCTTCATCATACAAGGTTCAATATCTCCTTGATAGATTAGATCATGGAAAAGTTCTTTGGTTTTGTTGGCTGTGAGGAAGGAGTTGTAGTGATGGTTGTTTAATGAAAGTGATGAGCTTTGGGTGGTTGGTGCAATGAGGATTGTCAAAACGAGAAGGGAATAGTAAAGTTGACTAGGATTGGAATCTAAAGGGGCGTTTGGTTCTGGAAAATGAAAACGGAATGAAAAGGAAACAAATAAGAGGTGGGAAAGGAATCATTTAGCTATTACCTTTTCATTTGTTTGGTTTAACCATGTAAAGGGTATTTGTTAAGAGGAGGGTAAGGGTATTTGTTACCCCAAGTTTTTGATAGTTACAAATGAGGGGTAACCACTACCCTTAGATAATGGTTATTGTTACTATGCCTTCAAAACAAACACACGGTAACGGTATCGGTTTAATCGATTTCGTTTCCAATTCAAAACATATACTAACCAAACGCCCCCTAAGTGTTTAATAGTTAGTTCAAACTTCAAAGTGAGAAATATACTCTTAAACAGTGGCGGAGCCAGTATAATCGGAGGGACGACAACTAAACATCGCAACATTTAACAAAAATATTAAAAAAAAAAAAAACAAAGATAGTTTTATAGTTAAAATTTTACAACTAAAGAATCCACAATATATAATATAGTCCTACAATTCAAAAATAATACGAAAAAAATTACATAAGTTTAATATTAAATTACAATTGCATCTTTCGAGTCTTCATATTTTGAAAACGATCAATGATTACTTCATCAGGAACTTGTAGGAACACCTCCTTCTCAATAAAAGTGACCAAACAATCATTCATGAATTGATCACTCATGCTATTTCGCAACTTACTTTTGACATATGTCATTGCGGAGAATACTCTTTCAACACTTGCCGTAGCAACAAGAAGAATCAACATCAATTTAATAAGCAAATATACAAGAGGATATGTCTTATCCTTCTTGGTATTAACAAGCATCATGGAAAGAGAGTTAAGATCACGCAAATTTTGAAATCTTTCATCATTGTGCATATTTTCCATGAATATATCAAATTGACCTTCAAGTGTCATCAAATCAAAACTCGAAAATTCTTCGGGATAAAAAGAGGCAAGTTTGAGTACCTTTTCTTTGTCAAAAGATGAGAGATTATCTTTAGGACTTAAGCAAGCCATACAAGTAAGTAACTCCATGCTTCTCTCATTGAACCGATTATCAAGTTCTTGAAGATGATGTAGATTTGTTGCTTTTTCGACAAAGCGTCGTGATCTTACTTGAGGAACATAAAGAGCATCCATAGTAGGAACATCAATGCCATGTTTAGTGCAAAATAAAGTAACCTTGTTTAAGAGAGTCTTCCACCCTTGTTCCCTCATTTTTTGCAACACTCTTTTTGTGAAAGTAACTAGTTCCATGACATTTACAATATCTTGCTCCTTTCTTTGCAAAGCAATACACAAATCATTAGTGTAACTAAAAATAGTCAACATCAAGTAAGCCACAAAAATAAAACCAAATGACTCTAATTGTCCTAAAACAATTTGAGCTTTAAACTTATCTTCCGATGCATCATATTTCCCAATGTGAACAAGTACCTTAACAATTGTAGAAAACAAGCGGATGACATTGACAAGACACTTTTAATGAGATTCCCAACGAGTATTTCCGGGCCTCTTCAAACCAAGCTCTTGATTCAAACCCGATCTACTCAAAATTTCCCCACTTCCAATGCTTGAGCAACTTCTTGAGCTTGACTATTACGAATTATTTCTCTTCTCTTGCAAGAAACTCTAACAACATTCAACAAGTTTGCAAGTATTTCAAAAAGCCAACTACAACTATCATTCCTTTTAGTAATGACAACTAGTGTTAGTTGTAGTTGATGAGCAAAACAATGTATGTAGTAGGCTCTTGGAGTATCATTCATAATCAAAGTCTTAAGGCCATTTATTTCACCCTTCATATTACTAGCCCCATCATACCCTTGTTCTCTTATTATAGATGGACTCAATGAATGTTCCACAAGTAGAGACATAATTGCATATTTAAGAGATAAAGCGGTAGTATCACCAACATGCACAATGCCTAAAAATCTCTCCATTACCTTTCCACTATCTCTATCAACAAAGCGCAAAACAAGAGCTAATTGCTCTTTTTGGGATAGACACTTGATTCATCGGCCAATATAGCAAAGTAATCATCACCAAGTTCTTCAATTATGCACTTAGTTGTTTCTTTTGCACAACAATTAATAATGTCTTTTTGAATCGGAGGAGAAGTCATTTAACAATTTCCGGGTGCATTTTCAAGAGTATGTTCAGCTACTTCCTTCATTTTTTCTCTTAGCCATTTGAAAAGCACAATGAAATTACCTCTATTATGAGACTCATCACTTTCATCATGCCCATGAAATCCCAAGCCTTGTCCCAAAAGAAACCTCAAGCAAGTTAAAGATGCATTCAAACGAATATAATATTCACTTTTAATCACATTACTTGCTTTTTCTAACACATTCACAAATGATTTATTTTTCCAATCTCTTAAATTCACATACTTCTCATAGGCAAGATTATGAGCACTCTTAATCCCACCAACATGCCTCTCAAATCGTTCGGGTTTATTCCATTTCCTAAACCCTCCATCAGCAAATGCATCACCCACCATATTACTTTCAACTTCACCCTTGAACAAATAACATACAAAACAAAATGCGGCATCTTCCTCAATACTATATTCAAGCCAATCCCACTTGTTAAACCAACTCACACTAAAACGGCGCAAACTGGATACTTGTCTTTGAGGGAAATTATGAGTTTTTGGTTGCCAAGGTTTTTTGAGAATATAAGCTCTTTTCACCGCATTTCTTTGGTTTTGGGGACAATCCATTATGTTCATTCTTTTCCCGGGATTATGAGGAAAGAGTTCAACATCATATACCAACTCTTCTTCATTCGATGGTACATTACTAGTATTTGAACCACCTATTTCCACATTGTTCTCTTATGTTTGGGGGGATCCAAATGAAGGAGGTTCATTCCCTTGGGATCTCATTCGTTTAAACATGAATTGTCGAAGATCGGGTTGTTCAGTTGTCTTGGACTTGTTTGAATTAAGTGAATTATTCGACATATCCTAATTAGATTGAAAAATATGATCAATAATAATTCAATTACATAATCATACATAAAAAACTATTAAACAATTTTAACACACTTGACAAAATAACAACCCTAACATTGGGATTTAAATAATCAACAATAAAATAATTGGGCTTAAACAATTAAGTTATTATAATAATTAAACAATTCAGTAAAAAACAATTAAAATTTGGTGAACAAATAATTATCAATTATAAATTGGGATTTAAACAATTAAAAATTAGAAACTAGGGTTTAGAGGAATAATTAGAAATTAGGGCTTACTTGTTTAATGTAAATTAGAGAAAAGTACTTGATTGTCGCCGGAAAGTTGTGAAAGTTGAAAACGTGTGATGTCACTCTCGTCAAATTGGATTTTGGAGTACGGTTGAATAGTGGGGCAAAAGAACAAACTCAGCCTTTTTTTTTTTTTTTTTTTTTTTTTTTACAGTAAGTTGTTTGCAGACTTTGGATAGTTTTGTTTGTTTTTCTATTCTTTTACCTTGTCATTTCTTTTACCTTTTGCCTTTTGATTTTCTTTTTTTTTTTTTTTTAATAAAAGATGATTTTTTTTTCAAGAAAGGGGGGACAGCTGTCTCCCATTGTCCCCCCTTCCCTCCGCCACTGCTCTTAAAGTTTGAGTTATAAAGCCTGATCTGGTCTTATGGAAATTCTTTGAAGGCGTGAACTGTAGGCTTTATGATGTGGCTAACAACTAAAATGAGAGGCATATTGGTTTCAAAAAAAGAAAAAAGAGGGGCATATTGGGCTCTCATAATATTATCTCGAGTAGGTGGTTTACATTATTACTTACCGTTGTATGTATTCTATCACTCAGACTGAATTCAGATTGCTGGTATACTTTGTACTGGATCACTCATCAATTACTTTGTACTAGATCACTCATCAATATTAGGGGACATCATATTAGGGGAATTTAGCATTGATCTTGTCTGACTTTTCTCTTGATGCTGAATCTAGCTTATTCGTATTGAAGAGAGCTAACTCTTGTTCTTCACTTCTTTGGGCTAACTTATGACCTAGATTCACTAGTTTTCTGTTTTGCTGATGTCTACTATAATGATATAATCCTAACACTTGAACTTTCATGCATCATATAATTCCTACTGGAAGGCCTGACTTTTATTGAGAATTGAGGGGGAAAGTGGGGGTACTGTTTCACTTGGTACTTGGTAGTTGAGACAACTTTTTTGCAGGATACGCCTATACCTCATGTAGTACTTGCTAAGATCCAATATTGGAAGGCTTAATTCAGTAGCGCAGGGTACTTGTAAAGTTGTAAGTGCCTATGTGGTAACAATTGACCGCAGCAATTAGGCAAGCTACTTTTTCCTGGAATCCTAATATACTGTGAAAACAGGCCTTTGGATGCTTACTCCTTTTTTGTTCCTGTAATGTGGCAGCCTGACCTTTTGGTGAGAGTCTGTCCTTAAACTTGGATGTTGCTGATCAAACCAAATAGTTAGACATTATTAGTTGAAAGGAGGGATAAATGTTTATGTGACTGCATAGAAAGTTGCATCACTTGTTGGCTATGCATTTGGTATCTTCTTTACAGCAGTTTCTTAGTCTCATGACTACCCCATCTTTCTTTTTAAAATAGTCGTTCAACCAATATCAGATTTTGCAACACTTAACCATGTGGCCTTGAGCTGAATCCTTTTATTATAATTGAGGAGTGATACCGTGAGAAATGAGGTCAAAATGTTCCATTGCAACTAAAATCATTTTCATCTATGAATACTGCAATGCTAGCAACTAGAATTTTGCAATATTTATACTCACCTGGATTGGATATTATAGTGTTATCACTCAAACCATGTAGCCTTGAGCTGAAACCTTTTTTAAAGCTAAGTGTTTGACTGCAAGTTTGCAACTATATACAAGCATTATCATCTTGGGCTAATGAAGAGATCCCACCACCTGAAATGGACATCACAATGTTAGCAACTAGAATGGTGTATTTAGAGTATTTTTCAACTTTACTCCTCTCTCTCTGGATCCACTTTTAGAATCAGTGTTGTATCATCATGTTGCATACAAAAGTAGGAAGGACTATTATATTTTTGGAAGTCACAAAAGGACTTTTATTGTATGGACTTTTGTGAGCAGTTCTTAATTTGTTCATTTGTTATAGTATGAGTTTTTATTTAATTTCATAATACAAGTAGATACGGAGTAGTACTCTACCACTTCATATTAGAAATTTTTTTCGTTATCTTCCCATGTGCTTAATGTATTACTCCCTCCGTTTTTTTTAAGTGCCCCACTTTTCAACAATGGCCGTTTATATTCAAGTGTCCCATTACCAAATTTAGAAACCCCACTCACATTATATATTAACCCACTCTCTTCCTTTTGATCCCACCATTATTTTATAATATTTCCTCCTCACATTAAACTTAGTGGTCCCCCATTTATATTTCTCTTTCTTACTTTTCCAAATTTCTTATTCGTAATCATACTCAATTGTATACTACCTCCGTTAACATTTAGTTGCAACTTTGGAATATTTTATATCTCACAAATAATACTCCAAAGTTGCAACTAAAAGTTAACGGAGGTAATATTATTTTACTCTTTTACCTAAAAACTCCGCGCACACCCCAATGGGGCACTTAAAAAAAAACGGAGGGAGTATTGTTTTGCTCTAGTCTATGACTTAAACAGGCTTCTGTGATTGTGACAATGTTGTTGACTTCAAAATCAATTAAGAGCATGCATTATTTTTTTAAGGACTTATGATGGTTACTACGTTTATTATTATATTGATTTTTAGCTGTCCTGGAATGCAGGTAGGTCCTTTGCAACAAGGAATGCCTAACATTTAGATCACTGAAAGTTTGGACCGCATTAAGTCAAGGTTTCCCATTTCCCTTTGTATACTGCTGCAACTATATTGTCTTCTGTAGGGAAGCTTACTGACAAGGTCATTGCCACTCAACTATCAAAAACTTAAAGAAGACGAATGAATTGATTGCTGAATCAAAGCTTTGAAGATAAAGCTAGAGCATTTGTTGTAAATTGTGGAATATATATATTTAAGAACTGATTTTAAATTATTTTTTTTTTATATTTATATTCTTGGGATGCTTAAGCTTCCAATTAAATGTACAAGACAAAATCTGCGAAAATTACACAAATTGCTTTAGCCTTCCTGGTTCTGCTGTTCTGCATACCTTGTGTATGTTGTTTTCCAGTAACTTTTGTTGCTACAAGAATCTACACATCTGATTTTATAGGAAATTGCATTCAGAAAAAACTTTTCACAAAGTTTCAACTTTGTTATCAATCTACCATATTCATAGAGAAATGTGTTATTCTTCATTAATATGAGAGTACCACGGAGGTAAAAAAAAAAAAATACTCCACTAAATATTCAAATAACAAACAATATTAGCTGACTATAATTCAGAGTCTGAAATTAATGCTTGCTTGTATAGATTCAGATGTTTACTGAATCGCAGCTTCACACCTTAAAGTCTTCGAATTATAGAGCGTTTATCTTATAGCTACGTTACCAGTATTGGAAAAGAAAATGAACTAAATGACCTGCATTATGGAATATCCCGCAATATCTTACTAAGAACTCAAAGTTAGATATGTGCTGATATTAACTTCAACAGCAGGGTTCATCATCAGGTCATTCTAACAGTCTGACCAGAGGACGTTTTTGCACGTAATATAAGCCAAATACAAACTGTCTATCCTACATTTGAAACTGCATCTGTCGTAGGTGTTCAATGAAAGCAGTTTGAATAATGAAACAAATTTAAAGAATTTAGGTCCATGCTAATCTTGTCAAAACCGAACAATTGTCTTACAAAACTTAGTTTGTCTGAATTACAAAAGAAAAGCACACCATTAGTGGTAATTTAACTAAGACAAGAACTATCAAAAATAAATATGATTGAGACACAATCAGATGTACCACTGACATTTATATTGATATATTGAATGAGAAAATCTCATAAAGGGGTCAAAGCGCAAACACTATACATGGGTGAGGCCAAGCTAAAAGAAAGATATGACAATTACCTCTGGAATTATAAGTTCACAGTTAAAAGCCAGTTTGCTACATTGCAACACGAGCAAAAGAATTGTGCAAAAAATTTACATCAAAGATGGAGTAAATCTTTCATCAAACCTAAATTGCTTCACTGTCTTGTACAAATTAATCTTGATATCAATACAATTGGAAAGAAGCATATCACAAAATGACCAACTCCTTGCCAGAATGCTGCATAAGAATCCATGGTCTGGGCCAAAAAATGTATGAGCCAGAGTTGGCTGTTCTACACGGGATCTGGAAGAGCTGTAAGGAAAAATGTTCATCAAGAAAAAAAGCATGGAACATATATCATTAGGCCTTCCCTAGTGAGTTGAAACCTGCAATCATAAACATCTTTACAATGTTAAAGAAAGCAAAAGCCTAAGATTCGAGCACAAACATGTCACGATTGTTTCTAACTACACAAGAGGATGTTTGAAAAGTTTCAGAACAAATAAATAAAAGGCATAGAAGGATTTGAAGCAAAAGAAAGGTCATATGTGCAACTGACAGCTGAGTATACAATACAGAAATGTTATGGTATCATTTTGGACATTAGAAGTAACGGCTATGCTGATTCCGAGTTCTGATTATACCTTGGATGGTAAGAGCCATAACTGTACAGATGGCTAATCAAAGTAATTGGTTATCTGAGTTTAAAAGACCCATTCGTTCTGTAAGCTGATCCATTCTTTGTCGTTTGTCCCACCCGTTATCTAAGGGCTGCACTTCTTTTACCTCTGCCGAATTTTCAACATTAGGCATCTCAGGCTCATTGTTATCACTGGGAATTAGATTGTTACGGTTTATAAACTGATCCCAGGAGTCTTCATCAAGAAACAAATCTAGATCAGCATCAGGAGGCAACTCAATGGGAATTGTCCCGTCAAAGTCAACAGATGCTAGATCCATAAAGTCACCGTCTCCTGTCTCATTTAACAGGAAATTTCCCCCAGGAATGTCCACAGAATTATGTACAATGTCAGGCAAAGAGGACATCTCTGGCATGACACTATTTGTCGGCGGAAGACTCACAGAAGGTATTGTTTCTGGGCTTAAAAGCCCACTTATTTCTGAGAGCGCAGGAGTGGATACAGTTTCAGAACTGGTCATAACAGGAGACGACTTTATCATAGATACAACAGCACCATCAGGACCACCAGCACCAATCTGAGAAGTTGGGATCACATAAGCTGGCACAGAAGTTGGTGGGACCTCTTGAAGGGTAACTCCTGATACCCGATTTGCTGCTGTCTTATTTTCCATTGCACTAGTAGAAGATGAATCGCCAATGTAGAAATTATCTGAGTTGCTATTGTAATTGGCGTCCAAATTCCTTAGCTGCCGGAGCATTGCCTGTGTAGAATCATTCCCTAAGGGTTGGTATTTCACAATTTGTCCATCGGGAGGGGTAGAGTTTTCACTCTCAGTAACACCATCTTGCTTAAGCCTTCGTTTCTTGTTAGCTTCAGATATGCGCCTGCTACTCTCAGTTTGCTGCTGTACAAATTGAGCCAAGAATCCAGGACTCTTTACAGCTTTTGCTAAAAATGACATCATTTGCTGCTGGCGCTGTTCCATTCCCTGCAGACGTTGTACCATGGTTTGCAACTGGTTATCAGTTGACTGCTGTTGCTGTCTCAATCTAACAAGTTCTTGCATAAGCACATTCTTGTCCCTTTTAAGCCTCTCCACTTCTTCCTCCAGCCCAAATTTACCCACCTCAACACAAGCTCCAACAGATGAAGTCTGTCCATTTGCTTGTTGTTGATGTTGTGGACCTTGTCCATGAGCAGGCTTTCGCCGAGTGATATTCTTAAGCAGGTGTTTCTGGCCCCTTAAAAATCCCTCATTTGCAAATTCCCAGCGGTCTGGATCCACCTTTCTAAAGCCCTGAAGGTCAAAGAAAACTCAAAAGATAAATATTATGGGCAATGCTTTCATAATAAGAGCCAAGAAAACATGTACCTAGCCACATACTTTATGTTGGTGCAAGAACCAGTAATAGAAACAAACTTTTTCATTGGCTACTAATATATATAATATTTGCATTAGAAATGATACCATAAAACCAACTTGAAATCTTTCATACTACTTCCTTTGCTCCTATATCACAATTTCACATCTACCCATTTATGAGAGATAGTCCAACAGAACAAAATATTCTACTGTATATCAGCACAAGTTTACAACAAATCATAAATACTTCCTACATTCTTTATTAGTTGACACATTTGATTTTGGCATATTAAGGAGGTGTGATAAAGGAAGGAAAAAGACAGTAATAATCCTACCCACTCAAAATTGGGTGGGGGTAATGTGGGGTAGTAAGGGTAAAGTATGAATTGTACATAACAAAGCTTTACCATAAAAAGAAACGTGTCAACTAAATAAATATTTTCAAAAAAAAATATGCGTCAACGAAAAAAAAAACAAAGGAAGTATACTGCAAGGAGTCAAACAAAAGAAGGCAAACAATCAAGTGGTACACCAACAGTTTCCCCACCCTACAAGATAAGGGTCTGAAACTCCTCCATTGCATTATTCATTTATTCCCTCCATCCCAAACAACATTCTTTGACCTTTTGGTGCTCAAGATTGCGCATTGATTTTTATAGTTTCCAACTACAGCTGAGAGTAAAAATTGAGTTGGGGAACAAATTTTAACACATGAGAAAGAAAAAATATATGTGGGTGTGGGTCCAAGGAGAGAAAGAAAGGAGGGTATAAAAAGAAAGTCAACTTTAGACTGGTACATCCTATTTATTAACTCTGAAGTGCAGACAAAGGGAGTATATGTTTGCATAATTTATGAGATTCTATGGAAATATCTTGGGTATATACTATTCTACAACAGCAGTATTTTCACATTGTAACTTCTCTTAAGAAATTAAAGGTCAATACCATTTAAGTTTCACCATTTTAAAGTCAAATAGAGTTTATTTGGAAAGGTATTAGTCATCTTTTGTTTTTCTTTTGTACGATATTCATAAAAGAGCACATATTTACTCATCAATATTTCTCACAACCTTTTTTTTTAATCATTCACCCTTGAGATAAGCATTAGCTTATGCATAAAAAAAACATTTTACACATATTTCCTCCCTGGTAAAGATAGTAGAAAACCACAGAGAGGATGAAACCAAGTCTGTAGGTATGCCACACAGCGTGCACAAAATCACAATCACCCACATAACATTGGCTTTCAAAACCCACCACCCCACCCCTTTCTTCTCCCAAACTTAAAAGGGACCAAAATTAGCAATCCAGCCTCTGTCATAGCAGCAGCAATCAAGTCAATTTAAGCCTGACACATACACTTACAAGAAAAATATCTTCTTTCTTTTTCTTGACAATCCCTAACACCCAAAGAAGGGGAGAAAACAAAGAGGAAATGACCCATCATGCTCAAGGCTGCTTGCAAAATAAGCTGGCAGGAGTGAGTTCAGTGACAAACAGCTTACAGTATATCCAGAATTGGAAGATCTCGGACTACTGATCAGTATTAGAAAATTTTGTTCCTTATAATGGCACCCCTTTCAAAGACATTTCCAATTTTCCACTCTGCTGCAGGCTGCCTGCAGCAATTAAAATTCTTAGGATCATTGCATATTTACCATAGTACACAGTGCAAATGTGCTTCGAGTAAGCTCTTTTACAAGATGTGTACAATATAAGGACTTCCTAACACTACTCATCTACTCCAAACTGTTATGATTCCTGTCAAATTACACTTAATCTTCCATATAGACAGTAAAATACAGAACATTGCTAAAAATCTCAAATTGCTACAAACTCAAATTTCTATAAAAAAAAACACCTCCATGCTTCAGGACCAAGGCCACTTAAGAAAAGAAGAAAAGATCCAAACATTGCTTATCTTCAGAATATTAACAAGCGAGAGAAAAGGGAGAAAGGTAAGATCCAAAAGGAAAACCCTACATGGTACTCTCATATTTTTGACTTAACTATTAGATATCCTTTAACTCTCATTCACATTGACCTTTAATTGACATTTCCTTTACAATTTTAATAGAACTCTCATTCACATTCCAAACCCCTTTGCATTTCCTTTAGCCACTCGATATAATTTTTTGAAAAAAGGCCTGGATAATTAGGACGGACTTCTCACCTTCCCCTGCCCCATCCCAACTTCCCGTGGAGGGATTATTAGCATCTACAGACCCTCTACAATTTATAGGAAGCAAACAAGATCATGAATTATGGCCCTCAGCATGTTTCCACTTGTTTTAATAAATAAGTTCAAATAAGGGTTATAAGTTCAAACAAGAATACATATAAAATTAGATAAGTTAAGTTCAGGAAAGATAAGGGCAACCCAAGTTTCAATTTGCAACTAAATTAAGTTCAATTAAATGAAAATAAGGAGAATAGAGCACGCCCTAAGGCTATTGCTCAGACAGGCAAATCATTGGGGCAGTAATATCAATTGTAGAAGCTACTGTAGAAAGCAAACAATTATGTAAACAATTATAGACTAATAATTGAAAAAACAAACAAAAAAACCATAACATATCTATCATTCATTAGAATCATTAACCAGATTGTTCTATAATTGTAGTTTCTACTCTTTGCTAGCGCAATTAATCCCAAATGCCAATCAACTAACTCACTAGTCACTACTACACTCCAACAAACAATAACTTGAATAACAGTAAAATTGACATTCAGCCATTCATGACAACATTAAAACACATTTTAGCATCAAGAGTAAAAATCAACCAAAACCAACAAAATAAACAAAAGTAACCGCCAAAAAAAAAAAAAAAAAAAAGAGATAGAGTTAAGGATTGATTTAGCATACATAGGTGTTAAGCTGTCGAACAAAACTGGAGAAATTGTTATGCTTAAAATATTTAGGCAAAAGATCTCTAGCAAACTCAGGAGGGTTCCAAACGATGAAGCTATTATGAGTAGAACTCCATGAAACTACCGAATCAGTTGCCGGATCATCCACCATATCGTAAGTTTTACAGAGAAACGGAGGCGGACCATTAACGTTTGACATCGGCGTCGGAGTATTGCCGCCGGTAGTGGTGGTTTCGGCGGCGGCAGGGGTTGTGGTGGCAGTTGTGGATGAAGAATCCATTGATTTCGCCGGAAAAGAGTTGATCGAATCGGAAATTGAAGATTAGGGTTTAAGTTGGGGGAATTAACATTGAAGGGTAAGAACCCTAGAAAAAAGAGGAGAGAGAAAGAGAACGTTATTGAGGGTTTTAATTGAATTGACGGAGATGGTGGGGGGAAGGGATGGAAGGAAGGGTATCTTCAATTTTTGCTGTGTCTCACGGGGGTTTGCCCTGTGCCACCCTTTTCTTAATTTTTTAATTTATCTTCTATAATTTCAATTAAATTTTATTTATTTTTTTAAATATTAATTGATGCTCTTTTTTGTTAGAAAATAAATAAATAATAAAATAAAATAAAATATGAGTGGGTGGTTATATTTTGTGTTCTATTAGATTTGAATTTATCAAAATTTATTTAATCTGATGATATTTATTGCACCGGAGTTTAATTTATTAGACCCGATTAAAACTTATTATAAACTCTTAAATAATAATAATAATACTAGATGAAGCTTTATTTGTATTTTTCAAAACAAATATTTTTTGTATTTATGCGATAAAATATTATTTTATTCGTTGTACATAGTATATCATTTAGTATTTTTATTTTAAAATAAATTGTGAATTTTAACTCATTCGTTATATATTTAGATAAAATATCTAATCTTAGAAGATAATATTTTATATTTAATTCATTTAAACTTTAAAATCAATTTTGCTTATGTGGGATTTAAATTATTTAATTCTAAAAAATTTTACAAATCTCTTATTTAGTTGTCTATAACTAAACTTTATAATCCTAAATGACGTGTTTAGAAAATTTTATCCGTGGCTCTCTAAAAACTCTGGAAAAACTCCCTTTATATATATACTAGTACTAGTATTGTGCATGGGCGATACCCGGATTATTTATAAAATTATGCAGAATAGTAAAAAAAAATTAAAATGATTAGCATAAAAAAAAATATATTGAAATGCTTTTTAAGTGAAATCCATAAAATTCTAAGACATTGCTAACATTAATCTGAATACTCTTCAAGATTCTCTTGTATTGTACCGTTTATGTTGTGTCCTAATTTTAGTAGTTTTTTATTTCTTTAATTTCATTAACAAAATCACAAACATACACAAAAATATTACAACCAAATACGAAGAATACTTGATTCAAAAGCTTTAATGGTAAATCAATGGTAAATTAAAAAAAAATTAATGACACATGACCATATTTATAATTAAATCAATGGTAAACTAAAAAAATTTAATGACACATGGTCATATTTAAAATTATAATTACTCGGCTATTCGTATAGGAGGAAAATTCTATTGTTAATTGGATATTCATATTAATTATAATATGGGGTGGTTTGCTATAAGTAAAATTTTATCGTCAATAAATTATTTTATGTATACTTTTTTATCCTAAACAAATCTATCCAATATAATCTAACGTGGCATCTAATCTAATCACAATAATACCTATTTATTGTCTACGTGGCGCGACACTTGGTGAAAAACTGGAATGCCAAGTGTCGTTGTCTCGTGGTCTGGCTGCGAGACCGACTTTATTTATTTGTGATATATATGATATAATATGATTAGATTATTAATATACAATTTATTTATTTGAATAGTAAAAATCAATCTATTAATATATTACAAATATTTGGTTTAGAATTTTATTTTCAATCAAATATCAATATTTCTATACAAATGACGGATACAAAAGGGGATAAAAATAATCAAAGAGACCTTTATCAAAGGACAACGTTCTTTTTTGTTGTACATTATTACTTCTAATTTCTTTAGATTGTCAAGTGATTATTAATCCATAAAATACCCCTAAACGGATGTCAGGTGATTATTTATCATGAGTAGAAAATTCAAATAACATATATATTTTAAAATTCAATAAACAACTCTGCGTCGCACGGGGCACAAAACTAGTTTATTAATAAAATGATATTCGAATTTAGCCTAATACAAACATTACACATTGAATCAACGAAAACATTTCATATAACTTATGATCGTGATCTTGCACTGTGGAACACTTTCTACTTACCTCGCCGGAAAATATAGCCTTTTAGAAGAGACAATATAACGATTTGGTGTAGCCATGAGGATGATTTTTATTTTATTCAAATAACTGTATTTTAGAAATTGGTAAATTTTACGATCTTGCACGAGTTGATTGATAAATGTTATAAAACTAGTTGTTTAACTGATGTTGTAAACGCGTTGTATCAAACATACAACCTTAAATCTTAATTTGTTGTCAATCTATCAACAAATGACTTTTGGATGTTTCCACCCGATTCACCCTTAGGGCTAATCCGGATTCGAGCTCGATTCTGGGTGGTTAGGTTTCAATCCCCCCCAATTGTTATTGCGAGGGGCCGAATACACAATACTCCCTACCAAATGCAGCTCCAATCACTATTGCACCAACAACCAATTAGTATCAACAACTGTGTTTTTTTTTTTTTTTTTTTTTTTTGAAATATACCAATAAATGACTTTAAATAGCATAAAGTAGTATAAAAACATAAATGTGGAGCCAAATAATGGTCACACTAGATCTGGATCTAAGTGTTAATTTGGAAATTGGTAGTTCGCCCATTTATCTTCATCCTCCCTCTAACAAACCTCACTTTCCTAACTTTCTCTCTCCTCCTTCGTCTCAAATTTTCCGACGCTTTCGCTTTCGATTTACACGCCCACTTTCTCTCTCTGCATCGCACTGGTGCCTGGCTTTTCTGTATCTCTCCAATTTCTTTCTCTCTCCTAATTAAAGAGGTATTACTTCCCTTTTATTTCTCATGTTGATTTTCGAATTGTTGAAAACCTTAACTTTTTTCCGTTTTGAATTTTGTTTGTTTTCATTTGATTGATGTGAATTGTGTTTATATATGTGCTAGTTAAATCGTTTGAATTCAGTGGATAATTTTCATTCACTGATTTTGTTAACAGATTATTGTATCGCTATTTGATGATTAGATATTGGGAATTTCGTTCTTTGGTACGTAGATGATTAGTGTGGAGGAGGGATTTTGTTTTGTTATACTAAGAATATTTTATTTGTATTGAATTGCTGGAAATTATTGAGCTGACTCGAGTGATTATTTTTGGATGATATTCCGGAAAATTTGAGGGTATAGTTAGTTTTCCTTCTATTTGGACTTCGCTATCGTAGCGTTGATGGTGTAATTTGAACTAGTGATGTGACAATTAAAGCTGGACAAAGTGAAAACTGATATTTGGTAGAATTTGAACCAGGGATTGTTTGGAAGTTAGGATTAATTTGAGCTTATTTGGGGGAAGCTATGTTAGTTGATGTTCTGTATCTTTTTTCGTGTTGAAATGGTGTTGATGGTAGGTACGGCGGGAATTTGTTCTTACAATCTGAACTGTCATCTCCACTGTATTAGATCATGGAAGCAACACTGAACCTTGTTAAACTAGCACCAAGCTTGATTGTTACTCGTAGAAGTTTGTGTTATTGGATTTTATAGAGATTTAATTATTGGATACCATCATAGGTTGAATGAATCCTCCTTGCGTTCATGCTTTAGTGCCTATAGATTTTATTGAAATGAAGGTTGAGGGATCCTGTGGAATGAGGTAAGAAAGTGGCTGGGTAAGCTAAGATCATGGACTAGGTCTTGCCATTTAGGTATTGTGTCACTAAATTTGGTCATCTAGTCCATGGTAAGGTTGCCGCTCTTTCTCCCCCTGAACTAGATTTCAGTTTTGTGAAGCATCATCAGTTCATCATCGTGTTTACCAAATTAATTATGAATTACTTGAATGTTGCGTTACTTGGCTGCTGCTTATTATTTTGCCATTTTTATGTGAATTTACCGGACTTTGCCATGTTTTAGCATCTTTGATTGTCATGAAGATTAAATCCTTTGTGTTTCTCAGGTGTATCTGATGAGTAATATTGATCAGAATATTTGCAAGTCTGTTTTTTGATTTCCTGTGCATATCATGAACCTGACTGAAAATATACTGTTTTGCCTTAGCAGTCTGAACAAGGCGTTGGTGCATCAACCATGGCTCTTGATAATGCCATATCTTCTCCTCATAGACGAACTCAGGGAGCGTTTGTTTCATCTTCGCCTCACAAAAAGTTTTCACATAATGACATAAGCTTCACTACACTCATCCAGCGTCACCGTTTCCTTCTAGTAGCTCTTGTTCTTTTGGTCGTACTATGTACTGTATACCTTTATTTTGCAGTCACAATGAGTTCAGGTGAATCATGTTCTGGTTTACTGGGAACAGAGAGAGCGTTGTGTCTTGAGAACCAAGGCAAAGGAACCTTCAACAAAGGAAAATTGAAGTTATTCTGATGAACGACAGTAAACTGGGAGTGTGAATTTTGCATTAATTGGCTATTATTTGTTAGTGTTATACGCACTAGTTAGTCCTGGTTTGTGCTATTTATTCCAAAATTATATTGTATACATGCAATTGAAGTTGCAATTTCTTCAAAAAAAAATTGTAATTGTGATCACTGATGAGTGATGACCCCTTAAGGTTGGGTATTTATAGGCGCCTTTTCTTTTCTAACTGGCATTCCTTAGCAAATTTAATTGTGTTGATGTTGATCCAATTATATATACCACAGTTAATTAAGTCCACAGTTGGTCCAATAATAGTTATTAACAGAATTTTGCAGTAAGTCATTGCACAGGTTTTGTATACATTAGCAGAGCAGCCATATTATACTCCATATGCAACAATTTAGTTCAAACTTCCATAAATGCCATCTTTATAAGTTGATTTTTGTGGTTAAAGGTTACTAGAACTTGTAAAATACTGTATTCAAGTCTGTATTCAAGTTCTGCTTCATATTGTCTGTGTAGCAACTTTGACTATTAAGTCGATCCCCATGTACCTTCATACTGAATTTTTTCAAGCATTATACATTTTCCTTAAATTAAACGCGTCGTGTCAAAAACCACCAAAATGTTTTGCTTTATCCATTGCTTTAGCTACATCAAATTTTTCGAGGTTATATATTAACCATTTGAATATGCAGCATATCTTTAAAACTAATTCTAAAAAAAAAAATTGAGATTTTGTTAGATTTAAATTATAGAGATTGATTATCAATTAAATTGGTACAAATCTACAAATGACAAATTTACTATAAAAAAAATTAAAAATTCATTTGAACTTTTTTAAATAAAATCCTTAACATTAAAGATTGGCACAAGTAGATTTATAAACACAACAATTTCCTCTCACCAAGCACAAATATAAAATGAATTAGTTTAATCAGTTTAAATCTTAACAAATACAAATACTTCCTCTGTCCCAAAATAAATGACACAATCAATTTTGCACACATGCCGATGCACTATTGATTTTATTTTTATATAATTAAATATCAATGAAAATTATTTTAAAAATTACATTATGAAACTTTATATTAATACCTATATAACAACATATTATATGATAAAATATGTTTTTATTATGTTAGTAAAAAATTATGGTCAAATTTTATTTTTATTTTATTATCATTTTTTTTAGGACAATGGTCCAAAAAGGAGGCAAGCTCCCAACTGACTAAAAACTACAAAGCGAAACTTTGTGAACGGCTTGTTGAAACAAGTAAGAGGATTGAGGAAATTATCGTCGATACTCGTCATATGGTGTTCCAACCTTGTTCCCTTGCGTTTTCTTTATCCTGCAAAAACCAAACCTATAGTTCCTCTTACCTTTCTTGTTCTTCACCCTTGACCTGATTCCTCTTCCATGCTTCCTCAACGTGGCAGAGAACGTGAAATTAGAGTGTGGTGGAAATGACTGTACCTGTTCAAGTTCAAGAATCATGGGATCTTCCTCATTAGAACCTAAGGATTCCACTTCAATTCAACAATATTAGTGGTAGTTATATCTCCCACAGGAACCTTACTCCTCTCATCGATAATTGAACCCTCATTGCTGCTAGAAGTTAGACCAGTAGATATATGATCATCTAACTTCTCAACGGCAGCAATGTTGGGCTTGGGAAGTCCAACAATCTGGCTGACCACGATGGTGCCCAGAGGTCACTTGGCCCTTTTCTTTTGGCTCTTCTTGACGCGGTCCCTCTTTTCTGGCCTCATCATCACAGTGGGCATAAACAAGGTTTCAGAAACTTTGGAGTCCTTTGCCTTGTGGAAATTAGGATGCCTATCATGGGTGGTATTTTCCTTCACTCGTACAATCGTCCATGAAACAGCAGAATGTTTGAAGAAACTCAAGGTTTTCCCTTGACTCAAGTTCGAATAAGACACATCTGAAATCTTAAGGGACTAATTACTTCTCGATCTGTTGAGGAAAATATGTATTTTCCTCAATCCCTTGTCCTTAGCTTGCCTAGAATTTTGGTTGTTTGGGGAGTTGGTAACCTCATTGTCCCCCTTATCCAAATTAGTTACGATAGGGATAAAGTTCTCTATTACCATCTCACTAGCAGCGTCTATGTTGGGTAATTCCGTAACACCACTCTGGACATCACTACTAGACAACCTGTTAGATTTTAGACTGACAACAGACTCGTTAATCTTCCCCTTTTTGTTGAAGATGGCATGTGACATGTCGGAATCCTCAAATTCTCTCTTTCCCTTGGGTTGTTAGCTTTAATTGTTAAACCCTCCACTTTCTCTATTTCACGGCGGATATCCTAGTTGTTAGGCTCAGCCTTGAAATACATAAATAGTAAAAAAAAATCTAACGTCCCAGTTATTATGGGACGGAAGAAGTAGTATTCAAGAGTCTAGACATGGCAAAACCCAAGACTAAAAAGGAGGGCTAAAATTGACAAATAAAAAACCTCAGCTGCTGTTATTTTGGCGGGAACAGAGAACAAGTGTGAAAACTGCAAAGCTCCACTTTTCTGAAAATTAAAGACCAGAGAAGAGATAGTTCGGCGTCAATGGATGCCACACTACCAGATTTAGTGAGTCAACTCGACAACGTTCAAGGCTTTGTCGATGCCCTCACCTCGGTTCGCTGGAAACGTCATCAGGTCTTTCTTCTTACATTTTTCTCTCTCTCCAAATTTTCCGAACTAAATTAGGGTTTCGTTTAATCTCAATTTATGTTCTTTTTAACTCCAGGATGCGGTGGTGGAATTATCGGAACACGGCGTCGTTTTGATTGTTGAAGAGACTGGTTGTCTTCAAGCCAAAGTCTATCTTCAAAAAGAGGTTTTCATTTCAACTCTGTCAGCTAAGAATTGAGATTGCGAGTTTTTATGTGTTAGTGTGTATGACCTAATTTTATTGTAATTTCAATTTGATTGGGGTTTTTGTAGTTGTTTGTGAATTATGAGTATACTGCTGAAGCACGGCCTCGATTCGGGGTGAGTCTGGGGCTTTTGGTTGATTGCTTGAATACATTCTCGGTTCCGGGACACTCGAGCACGATTGAGCTTCGGTATCCAGGCCCTGATATGCAGCTTCTACTCAAGTAATTGTCCTTATTTGCTTTGATGTTTAGTTAATTATGATATATTTTCTTTTTGTAGCACTGTATTTGTCAACTATTCTGATATGAATGACCTTAAAATCTGTATAAGCGTAGTATATAGTGAAAATGCTATACCGAAATGTTTCAGTAAAATGCAGTGAAGTAGAAGTTTTAAGTGTCATTGCGAAATCTTTCTATATAGTGAGATAACTTGAGTTGTCAAATATGTTTGTTGGAGGTTGTGAAAAGTCTATAGGATATGTCACATTGTGATGGAAGTTTAAAGGAATGTGCAGTTGATTCTTGTTGCCAAAATGGTAAATGGTGGGAGCTAGGTTTTGATGGGAAACCTAAGTAGATTTCGACGATGATTTTTTGCTTCACAAAGGTAGTACATTTTTACCTGATGGTTGTAGTCCTTGTTACTCTACCTTTACTCATAGGTTATTAGAATTTAGTGCCTCAAATCAGAATGAACATAGGCTGAAGAATTAATTAGCCGGGTTTGGCTCTTGGTTCTGCACAAGTGCACAGTGGTGATCTAATGAGTAATGATCTGTGTGGCCGTGTCCTGGTGCTGAGTTAGTTTGTGGTGCAGAAGAAACAGAACAACTATGAACTTTAGGAAAAGAGTGTTTCACTCTGGCATGAAGCTTATGCATATTAAGAACATTAAGTAGCATTGTGTCAAGGTGTCACGTGAGATTGATATTCAAAAAGGTACTACTAGTAGTGTAATGCTATGAAAGCGAAGCATGTATAGATGTTGTGAGATTGTGGTATTTGAATTTAATTAATTATAATGGATTGGCGCAAAAGAAAATTTTTACATTTTCCCTAAATTGTACATTTGTACTTGTATAAATGGGGCTTTAAGTTTGTTTAAGATCTCCCTTATAAAGAAAGTTTTAAGTTTGTTTAAGATTTCACTTATAAAGAAAGAATCAGATGCTTATTTTTATCTGTTTGAAGATCCTTGTTAGCTGTTACTTTTCATTTCTTTTCTCAGAATTCTAACTACAAGTCTATAAGGCAATTACTATTCTTCTTGTAAGTTTTGAATCCTTGAGTTGCATCTTGGCTGGTTATCAACACTGCGCTGCTGTATTTTACTGGGAGTTAAAAATCTTTCTTGTGTTTAAGAACTTATAATCTTGTCCTTGAGCATTAAAATTCCAGATACTCAAAGTGGCTGCAAATGAAAAAAATAAAGGAGCTGACCAAGAAGGGATTGAGCTGTTGTTATTTGAAACAAAAAGACTTTGTTGATGAGAAACTGATTGCAATGCTTTCTCATGGTTTATTTTTGCCGATTAACTTAAAGTTCCCAAAGATTGCTTGATAATTAAAAAAAAAAAAAAATGATAAAAAGGAAGAGTGCTGGATACACCAGCACTTCTAAACTATCAAACTGTTTCATTGCTTGATTTCTATGTTGTTTTTCTTATTAGGTCTGTTGATTCACTGGATGCGTGCATTTATGCTGAGATCAGAACAAGAATCCCAGATACTATATCGTGGGACTACAATTTTGAACCTTTGGGTACCACCCCTTTAAGCTTCACAGTGAAGGTAACTTCTTGAAACTGATCCATGGTGAAGATATGATGTTAGTTTATACAATACACTGCTATGAAATAACATATAACAGTCTTTAAATTAGGTTTAAGACTTTAAAATAATTAGATATTACAGAGTATCTTTGAGAAGGCATATGTTTCTGGATATGTTAGTTTCTTATTAGAAGGCACACATATATTCTAACCTCAGTGCATTTTAGTCTGCAGCTCTGAAAGAAGCCATTGATGATCTGGAATGGCCTGGGTCAAGCATTAAAATTACTTTGCAGCCAACTCCTCCTTCTGTTACCTTTAGAGGTGAAGGTCATGGTGATCTACAGGTAAGTTTAAATGGTACTGACTACTGAACTTGTTTGACCTTTATGTGATTAAGCCTTTGTCTTTCTCCTTCACACAGATGTACTTTTTCTAGTAATGTGAAGGGTGAGAAGTATGTGATTTTGATCAGTTATGGTAACAGTTTGAATCTTGTTTATTTTGCAGATAGACTTCATGTATTACGTAAATACTGACCTTTTGGCTGCTTTTAGCTGTGATCGGGAAGTGTCTCATCGGTACATATTAATGTCCTTTCAATTACTTACTAAATATTTCGGTTTCATTTCATTAATTCATTCTATGATTCAACGTTGATTGTTAATATTAATAAACAGGTACAAGTATAAATTTCTGCGGGCAACAACTTCAAATATACCAAGCAGTGTTGTCAAAGATAACCGTGGAAGCAAAGTTTCTGTTGGGAGAGGAGGAATACTAAAAATTCAGCATTTGGTTTCCATGGCAAGACCAGCACACTCACACATAGATTCTGCAGGTTATCAGCCACCTAGCAGGATAGCTTACATAGAGTTCTTTGTCAAGCCAGAAGAAGTTGACGATGATTGAGTTCTCTTTAAGCCCTTCAACGATGACCACCTTCTGTTGGCCATAACTGCCGCAGCTTATACTTCTTCATCAAGGTTTTTATCTTAAACTTTGATATCTTTATGTGCAGCAATCCTCTTCTCCCTCTCTCTCTTTTTTTTTTTTTTTTTTTTTTTTTTTGTGTGTGTGTGTGTGAATCCATCCTGACTGTATATGTGTTAATGTGGCATGATCACAGCACCAGTCCAGGTAAAAAAGCAAACGTCATCAGTGAGATGCTCACTTCTTACTGTATAACTTACACCAAGGAATAACTTGTCCATTAAACATGACCATCTAATCTAAGCCATATTAATGAATGGAATTGTTAGAATCTCAATTGATAAATTTTACAGAATGGTCGGATGTAATTGTATAAAATGTTTCTTGCAATATATTTCTATGATGAGATATTTTGTTTCTTAAAGTTGTGAATTTGTGATGCATCATATGACATGCATCAACCATATTTAGTCTAATTATAGGTGTGTTATGCTGCTTAGTAAACCTTAGGTTTGAGAACTGAATGGCATGCGGTCACGTATGGTAGTATACTAGTATATGTCCTTGTAGAAGTATAACACAAGTTCTAGCTAATATCACGGATCCTCCCTATATGCTATTAGTGCTTATGCTCCCCAAGTTGGTTAAACGACAATTTTGGAAGGATTTAGAAGAGAAATTATATATGGGAAGTGATTTAAATGGGCATGTTGGGGTAAGCCGAGATGGGTTCAAGAGTGTTCATGGAGGCTTTGGGTATGGGCCGAGGGACGCAAGTGGTGAGGCTATTATGGATTTTGCCGAAGCAGATGACTTAATTTGGGTAATACTAGGTTTAAAAAGCAGGATTCCCACTTGATAACTTTCCGGAGTGGAGCAAATGCAACACAAATAGACTCCCTGCTCACAAGAAGCACGGATAGACAAAGTTGCTTAAATTGCAAGGTTATCCCAAGAGAGAGCATGGTTACCCAACACCAGATTTTTGTTATGACCATTCGTTTGAAAGAGAAGGCGAAGAAAAAAGGAAGACAAGAGGAGCCAAGGATAAAATGGTGTACTCTAAAGGATGCAAATGCTAAAGTTTTTACAGAAAAAGTAAACAAGGAGGCTGATTGGGATGGAGAGGTGGATCCAGACATGATTTGGTTACGAATGAAGAACTGTTTCTTGAGAGTGGCTAAAGAGGTCTTAGGGGAATTGTTATATCAATATAGTGCTAGAACAAATTCTAACCCTAGAATTTGATAAAACAGAAAATTATAAAGAAGAATAATATAAAATACACTTCCAATCAAACACCAACAAGTTTAGAAAATACTAAATACAGAAAATCAATCTAAACTATAAGTATGAAAGACTATACTTGCCTCTTCCTTGCCAAAAGAACAACCAAGATCATGAGAATACCATGGACCACGTGAGTCTTCGAATCTTGATACTCGTCTAAGGCGTGAGAACACTTTCCTAAAGCGTTAATCTCCCCCACAACGGTGCTTGGGTTGAACTAGAAACACGCTTTGAGATACAATAGACGAACACTACACTCTAAGCACTTAGATGTGTAGAAAGATGATCAAATTCTCAAACTATAGACTTAGAAGATGAAGAATCAAAGAAGAGATTGCAAGTTTCTTCTTTAAAGGTGTAGAGAGCAAAAAATTTCAGAGAGGAAGTTTTTCTATCCTTCTGAAAAACCAAAGCCCCTTTACGGTAATAAAGGAAATAACCGTAGAAAACCGAAGACGAGCGAGGAGGCGCGGGCGCGAGCGAGAAGGCGCGGGCGCGCCACCACAGCAGCGCAGGCGCTCCACCATGGGGCGCGGGCGCGCCAACCCAGCGCGCGGGCGCTCCTCCTCGATCTTCCAAAATTCCAACTTTTCCAGAAACCTGACGCGATTTTGTCGCGGTTTAGGCGCGGGTCGCGCCAAACCATGGCGCGGGCGCGCCATCCGGAGGCGCGGGCGCGCCTCCTAAACTTTACAGTTTTTCCAGAAACTCAGCGCGATTTCGTCGCGCTTTTGGAGCGGTCCGCGCTTGTCTTTCACAAGCGCGCTAACAAGTGGAGAGATCTCTCCACTACAACACTCTAAATAAACCAACAGGAATAAGGGTGAGAACTTCGATGCAGAGAGATATTTCTTGGTGGAATGAAGAGGTAAAAGCAGTAATTAAGCAAAAAAGGGAATGCTATCAAGCCTTGGGAAAATGTAGGAGCGACGAAACCTTTGCAGCGTATAAGGAGGCTAAGAGTAAGGCAAAGACAGCTGTTTGCCAAGCGAAAAAAAAGGCTTATTAGGAGGTTTATAAAAAGCTCGACTCTAAAGAGGGAGAAAAGATCATTTATAAGTGGCGAAGAGAAGACAAGAGGCGAGGAAGGATATTGGCATGGTAAAGTGTGTCAAAGATAAGAACCAAACTGTTCTAGTATAAGATGAGGACATTAAGTGGAAGGGGTACTTCGATGAATTGTTTAATGGAAGTCATGGAGTTGTGGTAAGAGATGCCTCTGTGAGTGATGAAGAAATCAACGTGGAGTATGTGCGGAGGATTAGGAGAGTAGAGATGGAGATTGCACTAAAGAAGATGAATCCTAAGAGAGCTGTTGGCCTTGATGGTATATCAATAGAGGTGTTGAGGTGTTTGGGTAAGATTGGTGTTGATTGGTTAACATATCTCTTTAACAAGATATGGAAGGCTACAAGTATCCCGCAAAATTGGAGGAAGAGCACCTTGGTCTCGGTCTATATAAACGAAGAAGCTTAAGATTGTTCAAGGGATCAAACTTATGAGTCACACTATGAAGTTGTGGGAAAGAGTGATTGAATATAGGTTGAGGGCATGCACAAGCATTTCGGATAACCAATTTGGTTTTATGCTGGAGAGATCTACTATGGAAGCAATTCATTTAACAAGACAAATGATGGAGTTTTATAGGATAAAGAAGAAGGATCTTCATATGGTCTTTATTGATTTAGAGAAGACATATGACAAGATGCCAAGAGGTGTACTTTGGTGGGCAATGTTGAAGAAAGGTATCCCACGAAGGTACATAGACCTGGTTAAGGATATGTATCGGGATGTGTCAACAAATGTGAGGACATGTGGAGGGTTGACAAAAGATTTTCCTATTACAATTAGATTGCATCAAGGGTCTGCATTAAGCCCTTTTCTTTTGGTAATGGTTCTAGATGAAGTAATCGGACATTCAGGCCAATTCAAGATGAGGTTCCATGGTGTATGTTGTTTGCGGATGATATCGTTTTGGTCGATGAAACTAAAGATGGGGTTAATGCCAAATTGGAGCAATGGAGGCAAAGGTTGGAAACTAGAGGGTTTAAGCTAAGTCGGAGTAAGACTGAATATTTGGTATGCCGCTTTGGTACTCGGATGGGGACAAGCGATGATGTGGTGAGTTTGGATAGAAAGGACTTGATCAAGAGTGAATGTTTTAAGTATCTTGGATCGATTATTCGGAAAAATGGTGACATCATTAAGACATGACCCACAGGTTTAAGTGGGGGTGGCTTAAATGGAGAGCGGCCACGGGAGTGTTATGTGACCGAAACATTCCTTTACAGTTGAAGGGGAAATTCTACAGGATTGCCATAAGACTAGTGTTGCTCTATAGTACAATACAGAATGTTGGGCTTCTAAGAAGAAGCACATTAAAAAGATGGAGGTTATGAAAATGTGTATGTTAAGGTGGATGTGCGGGAACACTCTAAGGGATAAAATTAGGAATGAGGTTGCTCGTAAGAAAGTGGGTGTGGCACGCATTGTAGACAAACTAAGAGAAAAATGCATGCATTGGTTTGGGCATGTAAGACGAAGGCTTGAGGGTGCATAAGTACAAAGAGTGGGACCATGGAGGGGTAAAACGGGGGAGAGGGAGACCGAAAGTGACTTGGTTGGATGGAGTTAGGAAGGATATGAAGTGTGAATTTGCATGAGGATTAGACATTTGATCGAAGGGATGGACGATGAAGATTTTTGTCGACTACACGTAATAATCACTTTTGGTTCATGTAGCCAACCCACTTATGGGATTAAGACTTTTATTGATTGATTGACCCCTATATGTTAGGTTAAATTTAATTAGGGCCATTCTCAGACACTGGGTTGAATCTCATGATTACTTGGCTTATTGACTGTTAGCTAATTATTTTTCTCCTCTTTTTCTAATTTAAAATTGAAGGCATTAAGGAGGCTCCCAATTTTTTATGCTACTTAATTAGAAAGTTTTCTTGTAATATATCTAGTCATAAGGTTCGGTATGTGAAATTTGGCGTATATTAATAGTAAGGCTGTCAGGAAATGCTAACGTGTTTTCCAGCTTCACAAATCCCAAATCCCTGTTTGGAATGGGTTGCTAGACAGCGTCTTGAACTCTGGGACCGATGTCTAGACTCTAGATAGTAGATAGCTAGATAGTAGACTCTATATATATATACAACGTATTTTTTTTTTTTTTTTTTTCTGAAGTCTGAGTTGAATTTTCAATATTGTACAATATATCTTATATTGAAAAATATTCATTCTCCAAGTAGAGATGGCAAAAAGTCGTGTCGTGTTCGGGTTGATTTCATGTCATTTCGAATTCGTGTTTTCTCTCAATAACTTCGTGTTCATGTCGTACTGGTTTTGGTCGTGTTGTCGTGTCGTGTCAGAGATTGCCAGCTCTATCTCCAAGTATGTCGATATTTGTATTATTTAATTTGTTCATTAGTGTATCCTTAAATGTTTATTACTTCCTCTGTTTTTTTTAATTGCACCATTCGCCATTTTACGCTTGCCGATGCGAGAGGTTGTTATATACACCCGGGTGCACCGTACACCCATAAGTATTTGTTCTCATTTTGATGATTGTTTTTCATTTTATTATCAAATAAAGAACAAAAGTTAACCTTAGGTTAGTTGGGTATACGGTACACTCGGGTATATATAATAAAATACTATTCCGATGCAATACTTTGGTCATTAATATCTTTAATTATACTTAGGTGAAAATTATAAAAATAAGATATTTGAAAAGTAGACATCGAGACGAATCTAATGAGATTTTACATGTCTATGTTTTTCTTTGCAGATAAATCACAAAATATGATGAAAGAAGGTTGTGTGATAGTATAAAATCCAAAATGGTGCAATTGAAAAAAAACTGAGTATTCAGAATTGTTACTTTACATTAAAATATGACGTCATTATGTAAGGGTTGGTCAAAGATGACACAAAATGGCCCGACCCACAAAGGGGTTGCTTCCTTCGCTAGTTCGTAGTTCGTACAGAGTAGCAATTATAATCTACAAAATACGGAGTATATTTGGATAAACGGATCACTAATATGTATCAGATTTGAATATTAAATACCAAAAAATAAATATGATTAAAAATCCCAAAGAATCAAGATATAATTGATCCTCTGTGTCTGGAAATATTAAAATACTAAGTTAACAAGAAGCACGAAGGAATATAATACTAATATTGACTATTATTAGTGGCGGATTCAGGATTTAACGGATAGTGTGTCATTAATGTTTACCGACCACATATAATTCAATAATAAAGGCATGGATAAATATATAAATTGAGACTTATTGCTCACAATTTTTCATATTCACGATAATATCCAAGTTAATACTCCGTATCTAATTTTTTTTTGAAATATCCCATATATACTTGCTTTTTCATGAAATTTAAGTCTTAATGTGAATTAGATAAATCAATGTATTTTTGTCCAACTATAAAAACTTGAATCATTCAATTAATTACATCAAATTAATAATACATCGTAATATATATACTAATTCCTATTAAAAATAATTAACTGCAAATATCAATTGATAAACAATTTCTTCAAAAAAAAAAAAATAAAAATTGACAAACAATTTCAATGGCAATCATTTTTTTTTTCCGTATCAACTGTAAATTAATAATTGAGAAATTTATCATCAATAGAATCAACTCTAATCATCAAACAAGAACAATACCTTATACTCTTCGAATGAAATGAACAGTAAATGAACAACAAATGATAATTCAACAAAAAAAATAATAATTCAACAAAAATAAGCAAGTAGATTGACTACTTAATTCGAAAGGATTGGAAAGAAGGAATACCCCTCTTAGCCTCTTCTCCCAACACCACCTTGAGTCCATGACCCCCATCCCCTCGTTCACAGCACCGCCGCTGCAACCGCCACATATCCACCGCAAACTTCTGTAAAAGCTACGACTTTTGTGGTAGGGTTCTTCTCCATTATTTCACTTATAAACTAGAGGTCTTTCTCTTCCTTAAATTTAATTTAAATCTGTAATTTCATCAATAATCTAACATCACTGTCATACCTGAATTTTAATCTTCGTTTAACAAATTACTTAGTTTCGTACTATTTATTCATAACTTCTCCCTTGTTTTTTTTCCCCTTTTAGAAACTTCAATTCTTCAAATGACTTTTTATCTTATACTTGTATGCAATATGAATTGGTGTTCATTATAAATCATTAAAAATGGGTTTTACTGACTTGATAAATTGACTTGGTAAATTGGCATGGTGAATGGAGAGAGAAAGCAAAAGAGGGGTATTGAACTATTGATTATTAGTTTGGGGAATTGAAAATGTTTTTGGCAATTTGTGAGTGAGGTGGGATCGAGATAAAAAGATGAAATATTTGTATTTTAATTTACTGAAGGTCTAAACTGAGTTGTACAGTAATTTTTTTCGAAAAAAAATAGTGTGTTCTGTGACCCACTATGATAATAAGTGAGTCCGCCCCAGACTATTATAAAATACTTAAGTTAACAAGAAGCACGAAGAAATATAATACTACTCGTGATGTTGACTATTATTGAGTATCTTGATTGTTTTTTTGGGATGTACATTATACAGATAGGCCCACAAGGCCTGTGATGTTGTTCAGCTTCGCTAGTAACAACTCTTACTCAATGTTAATATTCCATTACTCCGTAGTCCATACAATAGAAAAAGACACAAAATACAAATGATTTTAGAGCGTTTCCAATTGTTAAACACGTCACCTTTTGAAAGTAAGAGTGCACGGTAAAGGAATCTCTACCTCCAAATACTCTAATTTAATCGGCAGTATTCGAATCTTAGACCTTTACAATGTGAGATAATAACCTTAACTTGAAAAGTCAAGTCTCGCATAGTCGCATGGTATATAGAAGGATAATCAAGCTCTAACAATTATATATATAGTGTACACGTTGGTCAGGCTCAGCTAGAGTAGTTTGTATTGCCCACTTTTATTAGTTTATATTAATATCTTAGTCAATACTTATCCCTTCAATTCAGAGTAGTTCTTAGCTTAGCCTAACTGAATTGTATATGCCTATATAAAGGCCTATAATATTAGTGAAGAAGTTCTCACACTTCACCATTGAATTCTCTGAAACTATTCTCAAACTTTGTGTGTCAAAGCTTCTAGTTTAAGGTTTGTTTTCTTATTGATTTGGAAATTTTGATTTGTGTATGATTTTGTTGATTTTTCTAACCAACCTATCAATCTTAATTCTCATCCAGTGCCTTTTGCCTACATACATTATGTGGTATTATCGCTGCAAAATTGCATCCATTCATAAATGGTCGAAAGGAATTACTCTTCTTCGAGGCGCGACAGCTGCTACATTCATATATACACCTAAGGCCTACTATGGTGATTATATGTGCTCTAAAGATAAGAAAAATCCTGATATTCCAGTGGCTAAGTGCATTTCTAAATATTTCATTAAGCCAAACCACGAGGTTGAGGAATCAAAACAACACTATCATTTAGCTCCTCATGATCTCTCATTGCTTTCTTCCCACCACATACAATTTGGTCTCCTATTCAACAAACCATCACACACAAAAAATCAAGCCTTTTCGATCCAATTGTTCCTTGAAAGGCTAAAGAAATCTCTTTCTCTCACCCTCGATCATTTCTACCCACTAGCAGGTCGGCTTGTCACCGAGGTAGATGAGGACAAGCATGAAAGCATAGTGTATGTAGATTGTAACAAGGGTCCTGGGGCTAGATTCATTCATGCCGCTTTAGATATGACCATTTCTGATATTCTCTCACCAAAAAATGTTCCTTTAGTAGTTCAGTCATTTTTTGACCTCAATGAAGAGACTGTGAACTACGACGGAAGTTCAAAACCTTTGTTGACGGTTCAGGTCACTGAATTACTGGATGGTATATTTATCGCTTGTTCGGTAAACCATTGTATTACAGATGGAATTTCATACTGGCACTTTTGGAACATATGGTCTGAGATACATAGAGGAAATAATGATGAAAACCATATAATTTGTGAGTCACATCTGCCTGTCTACACCCGTTGGTATCCTGATGGGCATGGTCCTAACCCGTTCCGGATTCCCTTCACTCACCCAGATGAATTTGTAAGAAAAATTAAACCTCCTCAACTTAGTGATCGGATATTCCATTTCTCATCTGAGTCTATAGCAAGGTTAAAAGTCGTAGCAAACGAGCAAGGTTATGCAAAAAATATATCTTCTTATCAGTCCTTGTGCGCTCTTGTTTGGAGGTCAACGGTTAGAGCAAACCGCCTATGCCACGATCAAATTATCCATAATCACTTGATGGCGAACAACAGGCATAAATTAGACCCACCTTTACCAAAGTATTATTTTGGTAACTTTTTTCAGCCATTTACAACAAGTGTTACAGTGGGTGAATTACTTGAAAATGATTTGGGATGGGCAGCCTCATTGCTGCACCAGTCTGTGGTAAGTCTCAATGACAAGACTGTGCGCGGATTTGTCAACGAATGGTTGAAGTCTCCATTTTTTTACTACCATGCCGAGGGACTTGACCGCAGCAATGTAGCAGTGGCAAATTCACCAAAATTTGACATGTATGGTAACGAATTCGGGTTAGGGAAAGCAATAGCTTTTCGTACCGGACATGGAAACAAGGGTGTTGGGTTGGTGTTTGCTTGCCCGGGAAGCGAAGGAGGAGGAAGTGTGGATCTAGAGATATGTTTGCCACCTGATTCGATGGATGCTCTCGAATTAGATAAGGAATTCATGGCCTTTGTTTCATTGCCATAGTAATAAGGATATATGGATTAATTAAGGTACGGTCTATAAATAAAGAATTATGTGCATGGAGTGTTATTTTGGGTAACAGAAGCGTTGTTAATTTCTTCTCTTATTGTTGATTTTTTAGTTTTTCACTTTGTTCTCCAGTTGTTTGAATAATTTTGTGAGTTTATATCTTCCTTAACGTTTTTGATATACACGTACATACACTTGTCAATATATATTATACAAAGTATTATGATTGCCATTATTGTAAGCGATTAATTTGAACAAATCAAAACATTTCATTTAACATATTAATATATAATAATATTATTGCTTGAGTGATAATATATACTAGTATCTTAGAATTATTTTTCCGGATGTACAAATAACCCATCACAAGGGCGGTGATCATTATGCATGAAAATCCACCTGGCGTTTTATATGTTCAGCTTCGCAAGTGACAATTTTCACAACGTCTGGAAGTACCCGTATTTAATATTGATTACATTTTTAACTTATAAAGTGAAGAGAAGCGTAAAAGACAAATAAATTAGAGTAGACCTGATCTTAAATTTCGAGTATCACCTCCCCAGCTTTAGTTTAATCAACTAAATTAGTTGACATCTGTTACTTACATATATGTACCCGGAAGGAAGACTAATGTTTTAATCCCAGTATAATCAAAGCTCTAACATATTTGTAGTATACACGTTGGTCACGTTTAGGCAAAGTAGTCCGTATTTTCACCCTATTAAATAATAGTTTATTAAAAGCATAGTCATGGATAGTTTTTAAATGACTACAGTAAAATTGTAGCCATTATAATAAATCTAATCACAACCATATATATTATATTGACTAATATAAACCGTCAATAGAACCAACTTATTTATTTGTATAAAAAATTTTGACCAAAAAATTATAAAAAATGGGGCACGCACTTTCTGTTGGTTTCTCTTGTTAGACGAGTAGTTTTTTTTGGCTTTTCTCCTCAATCTTGTTCGAGTTCTTTGAAGCCATTGAAGAGAAATGGAGAGTAGGGTTTCCCGCAAAAATCGTTCCGCATATTCTTCTCTTATCAGTTTGTATACAAATTACGGAATGAAATTTGAAGTCTATAATACATGGAAGAAGATGAAGTTAGTGTTTCGTAAATTGATTATTATTGATTCAGAACACATACACGCACTACAACAATACCAAAATAGTTTCCATAGTAAAGCTTGGGGAACCAGCTAGGCCCGGCCCTGAGGGTAGGCGGGGAGTGCACCCGCCTAGGGCCCAAGGATCAGAGGGGCCCACGAAAATATTAACTGTACTTAGTTAAAGGATTTCAAATCAAAATGATAATCTGCTTCTTAATGGGAAAAGTCTTTCACCCTTCCTACTCCGTAATTACACTGCATTAATTCTACAGCATTAAATTTCCACTGAAAATCTGAAATGATTAATTTTTTTTTTTAAATTTTTGTTTTGTTTTTTCAATGCAATGAATGAATAATAAGAGTAGATTATAATCCTCATCATTTGCGTAGTCTGAATATCCATCTCTTCTTCCAAATATGATGAAACTCCAATTTTTTCTTATGCCCTCTAATGACATTGTAATTATCTTTGTCTTATTGGTGGTTTTTCATTATACTGTTTATGGAAGATGAAGGAATTGAATAAATTGGGGTATTAGGCGTAATGAATTGTATTACCATGTTCACTGTAAGTTTGTAAGCTTTATTTTCCGATATATATATATACGGGGAGGTTCCGCTGAAAACAAAGCTTATAGTGAAAACTAAAAACAGAAAATCTCAACCATCCATTATTACTAACAAGATCTAACGATTTAAAAAAAAAAAATAACGTAGAGTCACTATATATAAAAATAACGTAACTGTATACAAAAATAGGGTAACTATATCAATTTTGATCCTATTCATAGAAGTCACTATATACAAAAGTAGGGTAACTATATCAATTTTGACCACATTTACATATAGGTCGCTATATACCAAGATAAGATAACTATATTAATTATAGCTTGCAATGTTGCTGAAAATCTAGCAAGATTGATATATACAAAAATAAGGTGACTGAAACAAAATTTACAACATTTCCATGATACTAAGATCATTATATACGAAAATAAGGTAACTATATATAAACTTCGGGTAATTATATCAATTTGACACCATTTACCCAGAGGTCACTAAATATAAAAATAAAGGTTATTAAAAAAGTCTATGTAGGATTCGAACCTACATCACGTGATTACACGGTGCTCGACCAATTGAGCTAATAGGCTTTCAACATGCCAAAAACTAGAGGCTTAAAAACCAACACAGATTTTAAATTTATGTTTGAGATTTTACAATAACCTTTCACACACACACACACAAAATTACAAAATTTATAACTAGTTAACTACTGCAAATTAGTTTTCCATATACTTCGTTCAAAGTTTTATGGAATACATTGTATGTTGAAGGCTTTCCCAGAACATTGTCAGTGTCAACCTTCAATTTCCATCTTTCTTCTCTGAGAATTTGGGGAATTACAGAATTAGTCAAGTAGTAGCAGCAACATCTTCATTTTGCTTCATTGCTGAGACGAAAACTGAAAGATGAAGTTTCAAGCTCTGAGTCTTAATGGCGGTACCTCTCTTTTTCCCATAACCCCCAAACCCAGACCACCGACACCACCGAAACCCCAAACCCAGACCACCACCACCACCAAAACCCCCAAACCCAGACCAACATAACCACCGACACCCACCAAAAATACCGAATCCACCCACAAACCCAGCGAAACCACCCAAAACCCACTGAAAATCACCGAAACCACCAACACCACCACAACCATCAACACCACCAAAACCCCCAAACCTAGACCACCACCACCACCGAAACCCCAAACCCAGACCACCACCACCACCGACACCACCAATTTGCTAATAATATCAAACAATTGACATACTATAGCTAAATAATCCAGTATAAAAAAATTAAAAAAAAATAAAAAAAAACAGCAAAAATGCAAAAATTAAAACCTAAATTAGCAATTTATTATCAAGATTCAGTTACAATACAACAAAATTGCATATAATTCACGACAATGACACATAAAATCAGAAGGAAAACAACAATTGAAGATCAAATCAAGTTCAAACCTAAAAAACACGATTAAAAAACCAAAAACAAAAAAAAAAACATAATCAGATCGAACCTCCAAAAATACCTTAGCCGCTTCAATGGAGAATTCAGAGTATGCTTCCGCTGCGTTTAGAGAGAGAACGAAGAGAGAGAAACACACACAGTAGAGAGAGAAAACAGAGAAGTTGGTTGAAGAGAACAGAGAGGAAAGAGAAAATAACGTGTGAATTAAGAGATTAAAGATGTCTGAAAATAAGGGGAAAAAATCTCAGCCATAAGATTTGATGTACGGCCCAGATTAACTGTTTTCATTTTCACTTTACCACTTGTTTTCACATGATCCAACTCCTATATATATATATTAATGGAACCCTATAATTCTGTAACTATGTAAGCATATTTTGTCTAGAACTACCCGCAAGATAAGGTCATTTGTGAACAACTACCCACTTTTTTTTATTTGTTTACAACTACCCGTAAGTTTGAAAACGTTTGGGTAGCACTACCCATTAACGTTTTTCGTCCAATTTACACGTTATTGGGGCCCACTTTTTAATTTTTCCCACCCAATTAACTCGCCCCCAACTACCTTCTCTCCTCTGTAATTTTTTTTCCCTCCATTATCACCCTTTTCTCTCACCTTCCTCATTTGACATCGAATCTTCACCATCATCTACCTCTCCTTTTCAGAAATTTGGCAGCCCTACCATCCCTTTCTTTGTTGTCTCTCTCTCTTCCAACTCATCTTGTTGTTTTTTTGGGTAACTCGAAGTAAATGAGTGAAACTATAGCAATGGAAAAGGGGGAAAGTGAAGTAAATACACAAATTATTGCAGCACAACAAGGACGAACAAGGTACATTGGTGTAATCACCTTAAAAATTTATGTCCTTTACCTTAAATAATGTAAAAAATGTGAAAACCCTAAATATTTAAGTACTTGAAATTGGAACCCTAATTTTTTAATTGACAAAATTGACTTGACAATTAAACTATTGCAACACTTTATCACATAATTAATTAACAATAAACTTAATTGAGGTTGCTGTTGAGCTTAGATAATTGTACATTGGTTGCTTGGTTGTTTAGCCCTGCTTATTTTATGCTATGCATGTTGTTTGACTGAATGTAGCCACATTGTTATTGAATAATTACTGTTATCAATGTTGTAAGGAGCTTCCGTCATATGTTGATATGAATATGTGAATACAAAAAGGGTTAGACAGAATATGTGGGGGGAGGGATGTTTATGAGATTGAGTTGTTGGTTGAAGGAACTTAATGTTGGGAATTTGAGGAAGTGGGTGATCCAAGCATATGATTTAGTGTGTAGTAGAGTACCCCAAAATTTCAGTGTCTGGTATAGGTTACATGGAAGAAACTTGACTAATGGAAGGAGGAAGGTGGAGACATTTGATGACATTATCAATTTGGTCAACAGCAGAGATAAATTTGATAGAGTTATAATTTGGGCCTTAGTTGAGAAACCAAACCCAGTCCAACAACTTCAACAGGGCCTAGGTCCAAGGACAAAGAACTTTAGCTTTGTACCTACTTTGACACCTAAACCAGAACCCCCAACTTTTCTTCTGTGTTACCATCTACCAGTACAAAATTGAAGCCCATTAAAAAAGAGGTTAAGCCTGTTAGGTGGATCTTGAGGTTAGTTATCTCCCAAAAAAGGCAAAGTAGATGATGATGATGATGATGATGATAGGGAAGCTTTAGTGATTACCCTAGCTGAGTATAATAGCCATTTTAGGCAGGTACAAAAAAGCCCAATGTTATCCTCACAATGCTTAGAACCTTATTTGCCTCCTTGTCCACAAAAAACAAGCCAAGAACAAAACCCTTTCCCAAATTCTTCTTCTGTACCTTCTGTGAACCCTAGCAGCTCTTCCCCTCTGCAAAAACCTACCCCAAGAAAGAAAACAGTTGCTCAAAAGGGGAAGTCAAAGAAGAGTGTAACTTCAAAGGGAAAGCAGGTTAGGAAAGAGGGTACAAGAAAGGCTGATAGAAAGAGAAGTTCAAAGAAAGTGACTGAACTTGGGGTTGATGGTGAGGACTGGAGTGGGGAGGGTGAGTGATCTGATGAATCTGAGTGGTCAGATCTTGAAATTGACT